GATGGCTTACAGCCTTTATTTGCCCATTTTGTGTCTTCAGAACTCCTGGCTGACTCAGAATATTTCGCTTTATAAAAGAAAAAAAAGGTTTTTGTTTTTTATTGTACATGATATTCATTTTTTTTTTATTGGGACTAGTTTTGTAGCCTAATATTTATTGTAGTAACCGCAGCATTCTAGTGTGAATCAATTTTCAATTTTGTGCTCCAAGCACACCAGGACTAGAAAACAGCCAATCAGAGAGAGAGAAGGCGGAACCTAAGGCAGAACAACCAATGAGAGTGGAGTTAAACAGCGCAGCACAGTTCCATGCGCTGCTGCGTGAAAGGGACAGGAGAGACCAGGCAGAGGAGCTGCGAGAGGAAAAGAAGCCACTGCTGCAACAACTACTGCTGTAAATTATAAACATGTTGCTCACATCCAATTATTGGTAGGGACAATTAGGTCGGTTCAAAATTTTGGTAGGGACATGTCCCTATGGTCCCTATGCAAACCTTCGCCCATGGTTCTGTGTCTCTGTGATGGACTATCGAACTGTCCAAGATGTGCCCCACTTTTTGCCCATAGACAGCTGGAAACAGGCACCAGTCCCTGCCATCATGGAGGACAAGCAGTAGAAGATTTAATTTAACTTCATTTCCACTTCCAAATTTCTTTACAGTCTTGTGTTAGTGTTGCCCCAATGCTATTTTTTGGCCCCAATACCGATACCTGATACCTGGCTGTGCAGTATTGGCCGATACCATACCAATACCACCTGTTTGAAATTGATGTGTGAGGTGTGTGAAGAACTATATACTACTTGAATGTAAAATAATTGCCATTGTGGATTTGTCAAGCTGCTGCCTACCTTTGTGAAGCAGGAAAAAGACTAATACAAAGTGAATCCAGTAGAACTTTTTTATTGCCTCCCTGGAATGGATGAATAGTTGAATAAACTTTTGGCTCTCAAAATTTTATCAGTGCCCTATTTGTTGGTACTCGCCGATACCGATACCACCATTTTAGTGCTGGATCGGGGCCTTGTCCGATACTGGTATCGGTGCAACACTAGTTAGATTATTATAAAATCTCATAAAACTATATTTTGTGGTTCCAATGTGACAAAATGTAAGGAGGAATGAACCCTTTTTGCAAGACACAGTAAGTATCTCAAGTATTTTTAAGGTTGATCCGTACCTCCCTCTCTGTTTACTATGCTTCTAGTGGTTGCTGCATGCTTTGGATTATCCCTTCTTATGCATATCGAGCATATATTACATGGTTTGTATAATTTTGCCATTCATCGGTCAAGTTATTGATATCATTCCTGCATGGTTTGCCTCAGCCTGTTTGTTTCCGGGTTACCATGTTAGGACATCAACAGCTGCTTCTCTGTTCCTTAACCAGCAGCCCTTCACCTTTAATACTGCAACCTGATCTTTCAAAGCTTTTTAAAACCGGGTTTCAAATATTGTGAGTGACTGAGTAGCTGATGTGCCATTTGCTTTGTGCAAAAAAGGCCAAATACTTAAATGTCTGACAAGAGTTTTACTGCTTGTGTCACCTGTTTGGCTGAGATTAGTAATTAGAGGTTTATTTGGAATACATAAAGCAGTCATTCTGTTTTCTTTGACACCAGGTTGCAAAATGCTTATTATACTATGTCATTTTGGTGAATAATTAGTATAACTTTAGTTCAGGGTTAAATCTTGCTCACATTTTTATTTGTCATGGCTTGTAAGGCTCTCATTATGTGCAGAGTAACACTTTGTGGGGGAGGACAATGAGACGCGCAGCAGCAGTGCACCATGGAAACAAGTACTGCCTGAAGACCCAGCTGTCTTCTCGGAAGTAAAAACAACTATGCTAACAGTCAGATTCAGCACTTGCTCCATTTGTCCTGCTTCAACCACAAACTTCAATGTATTTTATCTGACCTTTGTCTGTATATATTTTTAGCCTTTTTTGCATTTAATACCCCTATTAAATGCTGGATAGGACACTTCAGTAGTAAACAGAGTGTAGTTAAGTCTTATTATGGATGCAGCTTTTCTCTGAGGGACTCAAAGGTTTGTTAGAGAACATTAGAGAACACTCAACCTGTTTCCTGAAAATGTCAGGAGTACGAAGCGACAATAAATCTACAATGTTTAAGTGGCTAGTCATATGTTTATTTGTTTGTAATTGAGCCATATTCTGGATTTTAAAAGCGATAAATGAGATGTTTAAATATTTGAATACTCTCTTCTAATCTAATTCTGCTTTAAAGATTTTTATTCAATTTTAATAACAATTTAATAATTTAAATTATTCATTTTCGTTACTTATTTATTTACCATAAAGCCACTGCAATGTCCTTTTGTTATATGTTTATTTTTCTTTTTTTCGTGTACATTATATTGAATTATCTTGTAACTAAAATCTGCTTTAAAATTAAACCCTGCCTTGCCTTAAACTTTTCCACAACTTTATCTTAGACCCGTCTGAGTGTTTCTTGTTCTTTCTAATGTCTTATAATGAGTCTTATAATGCAGGATGAGTTGTTGGGGTATTTGTCACAAACAAACAAAAATTCATCTTGTCCTATTTGTCCATTTCAACCATCTGAGAGAAAAATCCGAAACGGGTAGCGCAATCCCATTGCAATACTATGGATTAAGATTGGATATATAGCTGTGATGAAAACAAGAGCTGAACAGCTGAACCAAAATAAACATGGCTGTGCAGGAGGACATACGTGTAGCTGTTGCTGTCAACCATTTTTTTTTTTACAATTTCATCTTTAAAAGTGAAATAGCAAGACTACAAAAGCATAAGTTTCAGTCTCCCATGGCCTCTGCTGTTATTATATTTTTTAATGTGCTATAACCAAGCTTTGGTATATGGGTGCTTGGTGTTGCTGCTACCAATCAGCTCAGAGGGCTCTGCTGAATCTCCCTTTTCCCCCCTAATAGATTAAAGAGACGTCACAGGTAATAAAGAGCAAAGAACAACCCTTCTACATATTATCAACCTGGCTTCCCTTAACTTTGACTTTGTGATTTGATTTATTGTTAGTTTTGTCAAGCATAGTGATCTGTTTACCTGTTTTTCAGCATTTTTGGTCTATATAGGTGCCTTTTCAGGGCCTATCCAATTGGGCCAATTGTTGCTACGAAAATAAGCCGGCTTAATGGAAACATGGACACCTCGAAGAATAATTTTTCAACGAGAAGTTTTTGTGCGTGGAAGAAGTGGTTTATGGTGGCATCAAAAATGGGCTAATTTTGCACAACTCTAATGGAAACTACTGCCAAAAAAAGACAAAGCAGTTGGAGGATGACATGTGACAAACATATTTGTTGATGTGGGATTTAACTTACATTTTTTATCGAATGGAAACATTGCAATGGCATTTTTTTATTTTTACATTAGCAGAATATGGATTACCTTGTTTCCCTTTCTTGTTTTTGGGTTGAGTTTTGGTTTGCATTACTTACTGGTATGTTTTCACTCATATTAATTTACTGTCACCTTCGATGGAAGTTAAATTCCTTATTATTATCGTGTTTGTGGAGTTTTTCCTCCTTTCAAACTTAGAGTTACGTTGGAGAAATACTTTGGTTTAGAGTGTAGCCCTTTTTACTCCCTGCCTCCTGAGCCAATCATAACATAAGTCCAACGGTTGCCAAACAGAGCACTGCATTTGGTATTTTATGTTTACAAAAGAGCAGCAGCCTGCAAACATGGCAGCCAATAAGAGGCTTGAACACTTGAGTTTGCAGCCTGCATTGACAGGTCCCTTTTTTTTGTATGTCTTTCTGATTTCAAACACTAGGTGTCTTCATTACTTATGCTCCTTTACATCCGTTAGCTCTAAAGGTTGTCCTACTGTAGATGGCAATCTTTTCAAAGTGCTAACCTAACACCATTGTGTCTGCTCCTTCAGACATGCATACATTTCTGCTTGTTCCCTGCTTATTTCCTCTTGCTGCACATGCACATTTCCATTCTTTATGTACCCGCTGAGCTTTAGTTTCATCCATTTATTGTACTTGAGCTCTACTCATCTTGTCAGTGATTGAAGACAGACCATAAACAGAGCTGTCCATGAAGTCTACTGGGCTCCTGCAAGCACATTTATAGTGATAGGCGCTCTCCCTTTGGGAGCAGAACAGCATTTAGGATGGACAGAAAAACTGAGCTCTATACCTTTAAGCACTTAGCTCTCTCTTATGTCTTGCTGGGTTCTGATACTGTTACCTTTCCGCTCTTTCGCATATGGTTCCTGATATGCAACTTGAACTAATCTTTAGTAGGTAAATACATCTATCTTTTGCATTTAGATTGCCTCCTGTCTGTCTGCTTCAGTTTCCTTTTTTCCACATTAAAAAACATTTGTTATGCTGCCGTTTGTCCTGTTTTAAACATCCAAAACTTCAGAACAGCTGGATTTACGCTGAGATCAACTAACACACATACAGGCTCATTACCATTAGGGTGGTTTCTGAAGGCAACTACTACACAGTTTTTTTTATTATCGGTATTTAATAAAATAAAATGGGTGAATATATACCTTATGTATGCAACAACTTTAAGAATTTTATAATAAAAAACTAAAAAAGCTATTTATTGTCTTTCTGCCATTGCACAACTATGTACTACTTTGTATTGTTCTGTCACAGAAACATAAAGATTATTAATATGAATATGAATACCTTGGTTAGATATTGAAAGCATGTAACCAAAACTGTAGGGCTCAAATTAGAAACTGCAGAGAAGACAAGGGGGCATGAAAATGGCTGTTAGAAAATTCACACAGACCTCATTAATACCAGGTATGAAACCAGGCTCAGTCTCCTGGAGCCTCTCACTGCAGATTGACCTACATTTTTCTACCAACCTTTTCCCCTTTCTCATCAACCCCTGTCATGTAGTCTCAAGTGCAAACAAAATGTGAGGAGTTCACACAGTAAGAAGAGGGGGGAAAACGCATAGATATAACAACAACAAAGGAGGTGAAAGATGAAGTGTTATACCTTACTAAAGCGAGGAGAGCAAGAGGAGAACTGTCTGATCTCTACGGGCTCATCATCATTGGTGTCATCCTCATCGTACGTGTTGATGTGGTGGTAACGATCTGAGCGGGCTGGCAGACAGAAGAATGGTGTCAGAAAATAACCTAAACTTCCCATTAATGCAGTTAGTGTTGATTACAGCCACATGAACCCAGGAGACATACTGTCAAAGTAGCTGGTGTCTTCCTCAGACTCCAGGTGGGGGACAAACTCGGCTTTCTGTCTCAACAAACTGTTCCAGTCCAGCGTGGAAAAGAAAGAGTGCTGTTTGACCTCAAAAGCTCCACCTGGTGGCAAAAACAGAAACAACACAATCTGTATCCCACTCAATTTCACAGTAATGCTTAGATATGTTGCTTTAAAATATGTATTTTAAAATTTTTTGGTTTAACTTTAGTATGATCAATTTGTATAATCACAGTTTAAGAATGTTGATGGTTCTTAATAATTAAAACAGTACATGTATGTGAAGTATAAAGCTGCGTTCACATTGAACGCAGCAGGAGCAGCAAAATCGCGTCTGCTTCTTCCTTTTTGCAGCTTGTACCAGCTTAGTTCTGGCGCACGGCTGAAGCAGCTTTGCTGCTCTGGCTGTGCGTTGGTAAAGTGGGTCTGGCGCGCGATGGGCGAAGCTACCCTATCCTTTCTTTGCCTTGCAGCTATATTTGCTGTGATCAGCGGGAATAAAGTAGTTTTAATATGTTTATGTTTAATACGTCAGTGGGAAAATCCACCTAAAAACTTAATCACTGCAGTCAGTAAATCCAGGTTAGCATCCTGCCTTCTAATATTATTTCTGTTGGAGCCACTCAGACGGTGCGCTGTCAGTAGGAATCCCATTCAACAACCATCTCAGGCCTGGTCGCCTCCTCGCCGTTCGCCGCGGCGCTGGAAGGCGGTTTTCCTGTATGTAATCCAAACTCCAGCAACCAGGATAATAAAAGCAAACATGTTTTGTCAGCAGGCTTCTGCATTTGAAGTTAATTTAGGCGTTAATAAGCTGTTTCAGAGGAGTGATCATAGCGCTCTGTATCATCAGCGATGTATTCGTCTCCCTGCCAGCTCCCAGATCTGCTTCTCTAATTGTTTGATGCGGCGCGTTGAGCAGCAAAAGTTAAATTTTTCCATCGCGAGCAGCTGCGCGTTTGCGGAGCATCCCGCATCAGACGCTTAAATGCTCCCGCGCGCTGCTTCAGCTGCTTCAGCTGCTTCAGACTGCTCATTTTGCTCCACCTTGACGCGCGTCATCCATTGACTTTACATGTAAACTCGCTGCTCCTGCTGCGTTCAGTGTGAACGCAGCAGGAGCAGAAGTTTACAGTGATAACCTTTTGTATCCGTTCTCAAATTTGTTTCAGCATACCTATGAAAACGGATGCAATTGTTCTCTTTATTTAGCTTTTAGAGGAGTTCACCAACATTAAAAAACATAAAAATTTTTTTTTTTACATATTTTGAAAATTGAAATGTTTCAACCAAGAAGAGCTATTTCGGGATACCGGAGCAGAACTGTAAGCAATCCCCAAAGGTTGGACGAGCATAAACTCTACTCAGAGTTTTTGACGTAACTTTTTGAAAACAATTATATGTTGTATGCTTAAAAAAAAAAAAAAAAAAACACATTAATTTAAATATAAGTAAATTTTCAACCAGGGTTGCTCTAAATTCCGAAAAAAAAAAAAATTTAAAAACAACCGACTGGTCTTTCTTTCCAAGTTTAAAGACGTTTCAATTCAAAATGTCATGAATAGTAATGAGTTGGAGGTTTTATACAGTAGCCCAACAAAGCCTTGTTTTTGTTTTGAAAACATGCAAATTGGAACAGGCGAAGGGGTCCACCCATTTGGACTGGGGGTTGTTTGGCTTATTTTGTTAGACTGCAATGCCCCATAAACATGTAAGTGTCTGAAACTTGCTTTAAATACAGAGGCAGAAGCGGTACCTGTGCCCAGCCTTACGAGAGGGTTGGTCTGCAGCAGAGCAGAGATGAGGGCCTGGGCGTCTGCAGGCAAAGCCTCATCACCTTCTGGCCAAACTATGTCATCTGCAAGAAGCACCTGGGTTAAGGTAAGACATCTTAAGAGGACAAATCACAAGAAGTCCAGATGAAATCTGCTTTCTCACCACTGATGACCTGTCCAAACAGCTCCTCAGGTGTGTCCCCAAAGAAAGGCACACACCCCACCAAGAATTCATACAGGATGATGCCCATGGCCCACCAGTCCACAGGTTTTCCGTAGCCTTGTCGGAGAATCACCTCAGGAGCGATGTACTCAGGGGTCCCACACACCTGTGAGGAGGGATGGGAGGGATTTTAGAGAACAAGAAAAGAGAAAGATCAGCTAAACATTTAAAAAATGCAAAATGTTGAGTGCTTGTTATAAAAACCTTTCAAATCCAGTTTAGTGGATGCAACCGTTAAACAAACCCTTGCTGCTGAAATCTCTCCCAGTGGGGTAAAAATAACATTGTTTGTTTACACAGTGGGAAATCAATTAAGAGTTTTCAGGTGATGACATAAGGAATGATACAAATATATACTAAGAGGGTACTAGAAGGAAGACTACAAGCGCAAAGGATTAAAAAAAGCTAAGATTTATTTTTATAGAAAGAGGACTGATAACCCACGTTAAGACTTTCAATCAAAGTGTGTCCAATAAAGGTTTGATCAGCAGGGTGAGTCGTATCACAGATCAACACAGAAGTTAAAAAAGTTGTGAGGTATTGGCACTGATTGTTGTAAACATGTTTTAATTCTCTGATGGCACCAGCACAGAATTATTTAATTTGTGTAAAAAATGGGTGTGGATTCACGTTGAAATTTATTAAAGATTCAAGTTATTTATAGCGAGATTAGCAATTGTGATATAATAAGATTATGTAAACAATCTTTATATAATCTGTAAATCTTATCTGCCATTATTTCTTGTATTATAAACCCGCCAATACATACATAATCCTTTTCCTAACATTCCTGTATATTCTGTATAATCTGTATAATCTGTGCATGTAGCTCCCATAATCATATTTATATTTATACACAGCTTTTTACAGTCCCTAACTATTACTTTTTAACTATTAGTACATATGCCTGTAATAATATTTATATCCTGTATAGCTGTTGGGATCTGGAGCTGTACCACCTTCCTCCAGCAGAGTGCGCCGTGGGTCCTCAAGAATTGGAACCTTCCAACACACCTGAGGCGCATCTCCTCATCAGAGACCTGCCTATATAACCTGCTTCCAGACCTTGCTTCGACGCCGCAGTGTTGACCTAGTTTGGTTAGCGACCTGAGCCTTGAACCTGAGAATCTTTGCTATCTCATTGAAGAGATTTGATTCTAATTCTCCCTTGTTTTTGCCTCACAGGAAACCTGTCTCTACCTGAGGCTCTGGATGAGCTTAACCTGCCGTGATTGCCCTCGTGAGCCAAACCTGAAGATTCCTCTGTGGATTCCCCTGCAGCTCTTGGCTAAGAGCTGGAAACTCAGATTAAGGTCTGCCCTCAAAGTCAGAAGCAAGACGCTGAAGCAACTCTTGGACTCTGCTGAACTAACAGTCTCTGGACCCATCAGTTCCCTCTCTCTCAAAGAGTAAACCGGACCACTTCAAGGTATTCATCAGAATATTCAAAGACTCATAACTCATCTGTTCGTTTGCTAATCAAACTATCATCTCTGCAGACTCCAGTGAACCAGCCCCTGACCAGTTCCCTTGCCAGTACATTATCCTTGTGTTTATTCTTAATAAACTCTGTTAAACTTTTATTCTGCCTCCGTGTGTGTTCTGCATTTTGGGCTAGCTCTGATACCCATCATGACAATAGCACTTCTGGCTTTGTACTCGTGACAGTGCAAAGACAATGAAGTTGAATTTTAATTCTAATTCTAATGTAATTCTGCATGGTGGAGCAGTTTGTAACACTGTTGCCTTGCAGAAAGAATGTCCCGGGTTCGATTCCCAGCCAGCAGCCTTTCTGCATGGAGTTTGTATGTTCTCCCCATGTATGTGTGGGCTCGCTGCGTTGCCCTGCAATTGACTGGCGACCTATCCACTGCTGCAAATACCAAATATATTCACCATCTTTTACTCACTAACACATCTGTTTCGGCCTCAGTTAAACTCCATTTTTTTCGCTCTTGTACCTGCAGTTGCCATTTTCATTAAATCAGTATAATCAGCTGGCTCATTTAAAGACACGATACCATTCATGTATGACATTTATCAATGAAATTCTGCATGGTTTTGGGATATATTGGCAGGTTCAAATGCGATGCTAAGGTTGCTGCTTTGCTAATACTACCCAAAGATAATGGGGCACAGGTGTGGTACTAGTTTTGATGTCATGACATGGGGACATCCACACGGAGAGAGGAGGTTTTGCATTGAAAGCAAGAGTGGAAAAATGGCACACAAAACAACTAATAATTGATAAAAAGATTCGAAATAGAATTTAAAATCCTCTTTCTCACTTATAAACGCTTAAATGGCCAAGCTCCATCTTACATCAGAATTATGATTGTTCCTTATGTTCCTAACAGAGCACTTCGCTCTCAATCTGCAGGTTTACTAGTGGTTCCTAGAATTTCTAAAGTAGAATGGGAGGCAGATCTTTTAGTTATCAGGCTCCTTCCCCTGTGGAACTGAAACTACCAGTTTCAGTCCGTGAGGCCGACACCCTGTCTACTTTTAAGGCTAGGCTTAAAACTTGCCTTTTTAATAAAGATTATAGTTAGAGTGGCTCAGGTTATCCTGAGCTATCTCTATAGTTATGCTGCTATAGGCTTAGACAGCTGGAGGACCTAGGAACCCCTTTTCATCATTCTGCTTCATTCTATCTCTATTCTCCTATTCTGCAGAATCTGTTAGTTTAATCTCTAACATTATGCTCTCTCTGCTTTTTCTCATAGCAGCTTTGCCTCGTCTGTTCCTGTTTGGCTTTGACACTATCCTGAGAGAGAAATATCAGCTGTGCTGCTGCCATCAACACCTTTGTTTATAGATGTTGGAGATTGTCCTGTTTTTCAGTGTGTTCCTGTTTCTCTGACTGTGACTGGCTGGGTGTGCTCTTTTCATCCTCTGACATGGGGGCTGGCTCTAAACTTGTCTGCCTTGCTGTGTGTTTCCTGGACGAGGCCGCCTTTTATAGTTGCCTTTTGTATCTTTGCTTCTTTCTGTAGATATGTAGATATAGATATGTCTGCTTCTGTCTCCTTGAACCCCAGTCAGCCTCAGCAGATGGCCGCTCACACTGAGCCTAATTCTGCTGAGGGTTTCTTCCTGATAAAAGGGAGTTTTTCCTCTCCACTGTCACTACAAGCATGCTTCATGTGAGGGATTAGAGTCAATGAGTCGATACAATCAACTGGTTTTCCTTAGATAGAAAACTGAATCAATTTGACTGTATGATCTGGTGAACTTAGTGCCTTTGGATGACATGAGTTGTGAATTGTTGTTATATCAATAAACTGAATTGAATTGAAAATACTGCAGTGCCAAAGGGCAATATAGTTTACATTCGAAGGCCTAAAAAAATAAGAGTCAAAAGTGTTGCTTTTGTAGGTGGTGTTGATTTGGGGGATGTTTTCTTGACATTATGTGGAGGCTTAGCGTTAGCCTACTTTAAAGGCCACAGCCTACTTAAGTACAAAATATCCACACATTTGCAACCAGTGTACTCTTGTTCTGAAAGCTAGTTCCATGAAGAAGATGCACCACCTCACGTGGTCTAAATGGCCTCTGCCATCATCCGCTAGAAAACCTTTAGAAAACCTTTGAGGTGTACTGGAACGGGGGACTTGCATCACAAATGTACAGCCAACATAACTGCATTACCTGTATGGGGCTGTGATGATAATAAAATGTTGATATGGACTAAAATCTATGAGAGATTATTTCTAAAATTTGTTTTAATATATGTCCTTTCAATTCAAATTAGTGGGTTTATATAGCGCCGATTCACAATACATGTCATCTCAAGGCTCTTTACAGAGACAAATCAACCAGATCATCTAGTAAGATAGGTTCAAAGTTTTCTATCTAAGGAAAAATAGCTGATTGCATCGACTCACTGATTCGAAAGGAATCCCACACACAAAGGGGTGTTTGAATCTATATGTCACTGTTTCCAAACAAAGCAGATCTTTACTTATCTGTTTCTTTAGCTTAGCCTCTGCTCTGTTACCCAAGGTCCTTTTCTTTATGCTAAATATTTTGTGTGACGTTGTTGTGCATTGTAAAGATTCTTTCAGAAATTATAATAATGTCATTACAGATATAAATTCTATTGATTCAATTGAGTAAATTAGTGACCAATTCAATGACTGTATCTGTATTTATTAGTAATTCAGACTTTCTGTTACTGAGTACATGCAAGCTCTTGTGTGAGCGAAGTTCTTGTTCTTGTGCCCACTACCTTACGTAGACACTACTTTGCCTCTGACTCATTAAGAACCTCCATTAAAAGTCTAAAAAGCACATCTATGATCTGTGTTAGCCACAAATATGAGATGATTACTGGCAGACTAACAGACGCCCGAGGAATCCATGGAGAAGCCAGTCTGACGGATTACAGTTTAATTTGCTGCCTAAATAACTGATTGCAAAATTGATTTGTGATGGAGAGGGAGAGCATTAATGATTCAGTAACTGCAACTAAACAGGAAGCACTGAGATGTAGAATGTTTTAGAGCATTTTGGTTTTCGCAGGATGACTTGGCAGGATTGCATGACCGGCTGGAGGGGCTAAAATGTTTTTTCATATTGCTGTCTACTGCAAAATCTGCATAATGTAAGGACAAAGTAAGGGCGGTAAACTTGATAGACAGACAGAATTTTCAATGGGCTGAGCTACTGTATAATAATACTTGTATAATAAGAAGGTTCACAGATTGAATGTTGCCTGGATAATTTCTCTTTAGAAATGCCACACCAGTTTTTAGATGGTACAGACAACATTACTTCATAATATCAATAATCGTTTTAAAGGTACACTACTTTACTTTACAATTAAATGCTGTCAATCAATTTTTACTCCATGTAAGTGTCAACTAAAATCATATTGAAATTTAGACTCTTTAGTGCTGCTAAACATTTCCAAAGTGAGTGACTGATGGTTCATGTGTGATTTAAAACGTATTATATTATAAAAGTCCTTGAACTACTTTTACACTAAAATTTTAAGAACCCACAAACTAAAATCAGATTCCCTTCTATACAATAACGTACACTTGTTGTTTTAAATTGACAAACTAATAAAGTTACAGTAATAATTCTACAGTCTTCTTGGTGTTTTTGGTTTATTTTCCTCCAAATGCCTCTAGATTAAGGTTCTGTTGTATGCGTTTCACCTGACTGTTGTCCCTGCTATCGAATTAACACATTGACCATTAAAACGTTGCAATAAAAATACAATTAGGGCTGAAACAATTAATTGGATTATTTGTGACTAATGCATTACTGAAATAATCGTCAACTGATTTAGTAATCGATAATGGTTAAATGGAGTATAGAGACCTTTAGATGACAGAGCAACCCCACTTAGAGCAGTCATTATATCAAGAATGTAAAACAATTTTGAATTATAGGTATAGTTGAGGATTTTCTTTTTCCAGGTGGATCATCAAAATAAGTGGTCCTCCTGATTGTCAATCATTCTGGTGATATGTTTACGTAAGCCCGTCCTACGTGCTCGTCCCTATTTAAATCTGAAAAACTCTCACGAAGAGAAAACACAATTAGAAGAAATTTATTGATACAATTACTTGGTGTTTGGCTCTCAGACCTCGGCAGGATACATAGTGCTGAATTTTAAGAGATATGCATGAACAGGAGTAGAGAATAGGGCTGTTTCCTCCCAGGCCTGAAACTGGTGGTGGAGTGGAGATAGATGAAGTTGGTCAGTATATAGACTGCTGTTAGTGAGATGCTAAGCTGAGCTTTATGGGGAGATCCAATGGATTGCATGAGCTGATACTAGAGCTTCACTCAGGGACCTGGAAGATGGAAGTCCAGTTGGATAACACAGGTTGAGAGAACCTGTCCATGATGAACAAGCATGAAGCGACAGTGGAGAGGAAAAACTCCCCATTGGGAAGAAACCTCTGGCAAAACCAGGCTCAACATGGTGGTCTTCTGCCGGACCGGTTGAGATGGGACGCGGAATGCAGTAAGAGTCCGGGAGGAATGAAACTCTGATGAAGTTTTAGCTACGATGGTGGAGGAGGGGCTGGAGGTGGGTTGAAACAGGGTCATCTGAATGAAGTCACAGCGCAACCGCCGCTTTTACACAGGCACAGACAGGTGTGTATCGGAGGCCTTTTAAGATAACTTCAGATGCCGATTGGGTTTCGTGGAGGTGTGGTTCAAAGCTGATTGACTGTGTCGCAGGTGGATTTAGGCGAGCAGTAAGCTTCTTCAGTTGAACTTCCGCCTAGGCTCCATTTTCACTTATTGGTGGGGAGTCTGACATAGTGGAAAAATGCAAATCTTTTGGAAAGTAAGCTTGTATGAGAGATGCAAACAGCAACTCTTAAACAGAGTGTGCACGAGGAGAAATAGGCTTGTGCATTCTCTCGCACGTGTTTAATAGGGGCTCCCTCTTGGGCGCAGTACAGGGTTGTGCATGTGCATTTTTTTTTTAAAGTGGAAATGGCGGGTCTTTTCAAAAATTCCCAAAAATCCACCACTAAACCTTTTAGATATAAAAACTTTTTCATCTGTCAATATGCTCTATGCAGAACTCCTCAATGGAAAAAAAGCTGTAGTTCCATCTTGTTTAATTCTGTAAACAAAACTTCTTTAAGGACCCTTTTGTTGTCTGATTACTAATTGATTAATCAAAAAAATTATTGACAGATTAACCAATTAGCAAAATAATTGATTGTTGAATGCACTACAGCATGCTGAGAGCACAGAACAGCGTCAGCTATAGCAGCCCTACCTTTTATCAAATGAATCTAGCTAATAATTGTCTGAGCATTTTATAGCGTTTGCATAGAGCAGTGGTTCTCACTCCCTGTCCTCAAGTACCACTGCCTTACATGTTTCAAATTTCTCCTCGCTGTCTTACACCTGAAACAATGATTAATAGGCTTCTACAGCACTGAGGGCTACTAAGGATGTACATGTTATGTCAAGGCTTGATGACGTTAAAAATAAGCATGCAAGTTAGATTCAGGTTAAATGCACAACATAAACCCATGCAGTGTGATAAATAACAGCGTGAAGGCAACATTCAAGTAAAGATAAATATATAGCAGTGCTGGCTTGTCTTACTATACCTGTTTGTCCAGGAATTCCCGAGCGTCTTTCTCAATGTGTCCTTCATAAAGGTTAGTGGTGAGGCTCATTAGACCCATCTTTGACAACCCAAAGTCTGTCAGCTTAATGTGCCCCATGGAGGTGATCAGTAGACTGCATGTAAAGAAAAAAAAGGTATTGACACAGCTGAAGACAGAAAAATAAGCTTTCTTGCTGATGTGTCCTGAAAGTTTTTATTTTTTCAATGCTATTTTTTTATGCTTTTTTATACTGATTGGCTGACGTCAGCTAATCATGTGACAGCAGAGACTCCTCTTCCTTGGATGGCAAAACAAATACCACAGACATAGAACATGAGCAGCAGCTCTTAGCAGTTTTTCTCAATTTTACTTTGAAACCACCAACTTTAAACATGGTACTCTCATGCTCTGCCTATGGGTGTACCAACCGACAAGCAAGAAAGGACGGCATCTCATTTCATAGCTTCCCTAGAGACACAGAAAGAGCAAGATGGGTGGCTGTCATGAAGAGACTAAGCTGTCAACCAACTACACCTGGAGAGTTTACAGCAATCACTTTTTAAACTGTTGGCTATTATGCTTAAATTGTTGCTGTAGAGATTTTTTCAATAAAGAAAAATGTGGAAATAGTCAAAAACAAATCGAGAGTTTCATTTTTAACAGGCATGCAGAGTTTCCCCAGCATATAATAAGCCTAGAGGGCGGCTAAGCTTCACTCGTCTCATCACAAGGATGAGGTGAGTGTATTCTAAATGCATCGATGTTTGAGAGCTACATAAAACAGTGAGTAAGGCTATGTTCACACAGCAGCCTGAAGTGACCTAAATCTGATTTTTTTATGCACAAATGCGACCTGTATCTAATCTTTTCATGAGAGTCTGAGCAACACACATCCGATTTGTTCCAATATGACCCAGACCGCTTGGATTTGTCGTCCTGAATCCAATACGACCTAATCTTTTCAAATACGACCTGAGTCTGAACTGCCAGGTTGCATTTATCCGACCTGAATGTCATTAATACTCAACAGAGGTCACCATTCTGCATCTAGCTACGCAGAAGCGGGAAGAAAAACAACCATGGGGGACGATAATGCAGATAGCAGTCTTTATTTTTAACCTTCTTTAAAAGATTGTGTTGTTAATGCCTTGGCTGAGGTTAGGAAAGAAATGGAAGATTGCAAGATGCGCCCCAGTACTACCATCCATGTTTACTTCTGTAAAGGAGCACCCTCGCTTGTGCCGTCATTGTGTCCTCTACTGTGCATGCCGGACACTTGAGTTGAGTGATTGTAGTTCACACAGGAGATCACATACAATATATGTGGAAATGTGAATGACCATGCAAACAAATCCAATTTCACAAAAAAAAAAAAAAAAATCAGAATTAAGCATTAATGCCTTTAGTGTGAACATAGTCCAAATGTCCAGTCCAGAAGAAAACCTCCCAGTCTGAACTGATATTTCAGCGGCACGCAGTGCTCTCCCCGGTATGGTTTTAACATGCATGGGCCTACAGTGACTTTCCCGAAAAGTACGATTGGCGATTTACCAAATAACTATACAAGTCATGGTAGGTGAATTTGTGGAGGTCCGACGGATGGCAGTCTTGAATCGGTGAAAAAAAGCTAGCAGACAAGTTATTAGGATCCTGCACTCCAACATGAGAACGTTTTGCTATGTTGCGCTGTTATAACTTCCCATCTACATATTCCACACATGTAGACAATGTTGGGTTGACAGATTTTAAACTCATTTTATCTTAAATCTCTGTAGTAAATATTTCACTGTATTTTTAGGTACCATGGTGGTGTAAACAGACAGAGGTCACATGACTGCACGTCCTCCATAGAATCACAAAGGTATTCCATTTCCAGCACCTCATCAATTGTCTGTTATTGAATCATTAATGTAACTGTAGTTAACTGAAGCAAGCAAGTTACCACAAAAACAAAAAGCACGTTAACGAAAAAATTGACAAATTCACTACTGTAGAACGAAGAACTCACTTGTCAGGTTTCAGGTCTCTGTGAACGATACCATAGTTGTGTAGATACTCCAAGGCCAAAACGGTTTCAGCAAAGTACATCCTTGCTAGCTCTACAGGCAGAGCCCCGATGTTCTTCAGCAAAGTGGCACAGTCCCCACCTAAGAGACACACAATCATTTCTTTGACCCAAGAGCAACTTCAGTCATTTTAATCTCAATCTGAATATATTCAGCGTTTTTCTTGAACCACAAATATATAGCCTCACACGAGTGTTGGGCAGCGTACGGTTAAGTATCTTGAAATTTGCGCAAGAGAAATGTATCATGTACACTATATTGCCAAAAGTATTTGCTCACCTGCCTTGACTCACATATGAGCTTAAGTGACATCCCGTTCCTAATCCATAGGGTTCAATATGACGTCGGTCCACCCTTTGCAGCTAGAACAGCTTCAACTCTTCTGGGAAGGCTGTCCACAAGGTTTAGGAGTGTGTTTATGGGAATTTTTGACCATTCTTCCAGAAGCGCATTTGTGAGGTCGCACACTGATGTTGGACGAGAAGGCCTGGCTCTCAGTCTCCGCTCTAATTCATCCCAAAGGTGTTCTATCGGGTTGAGGTCAGGACTCTGTGCAGGCCAGTCAAGTTCATCCACACCAGACTCTGTCATCCATGTCTTTATGGACCTTGCTTTGTGCACTGGTGCACAGTCATGTTGGAAGAGGAAGGGGCCAGCTCCAAACTGTTCCCACAAAGTTGGGAGCATGGAATTGTCCAAAATGTCTTGGTATGCTGAAGCATTCAGAGTTCCTTTCACTGGAACTAAGGGGCCAAGCCCAGCTCCTGAAAAACAACCCCACACCATAATCCCCCCTCCACCAAACTTTACACTTGGCACAATGCAGTCAGACAAGTACCGTTCTCCTGGCAACCGCCAAACCCAGACCCGTCCATCAGATTGCCAGATGGAGAAGCGCGATTCGTCACTCCAGAGAACGCGTCTCCACTGCTCTAGAGTCCAGTGGCGGCGTGCTTTACACCACCGCATCCGACGCTTTGCATTGCACTTGGTGATGTATGGCTTGGATGCAGCTGCTCGCCCATGGAAACCCATTCCATGAAGCTCTCTGCGCACTGTTCTTGAGCTACATGAAGTTTGGAGGTCTGTAGTGATTGACTCTGCAGAAAGTTGGCGACCTCTTCGCACTATGCGCGTCAGCATCCGCTGACCCCGCTCCGTCAGTTTACGTGGCCTACCACTTCGTGGCTGAGTTGCTGTCGTTCCCAAACACTTCCATTTTCTTATAATACAGCTGACAGTTGACTGTGGAATATTTAGGAGCGAGGAAATTTCACGACTGGATTTGTTGCACAGGTGGCATCCTATCACAGTTCCACGCTGGAATTCACTGAGCTCCTGAGAGCGACCCATTCTTTCACAAATGTTTGTAAAAACAGTCTGCATGCCTAGGTGCTTGAATTTATACACCTGTGGCCATGGAAGTGATTGGAACACCTGATTCCAATAATTTGGATGGGTGAGCAAATACTTTTGGCAATATAGTGTATTTAATGAAAGCACTTACCTTTCATAAGTTAAGCCTTGATAATATATAAGTACATTTTCTTCTTCAGTCTATATATCCTGACACCTCCCAATGATTATATTAATCTTCAGAGTGTCATATTTTCACATCACCCCTTGCAACCTCAAAGATGACTGTTTACAGTTGCTGTAACTGTGCAGCTGAGGTGATCTGATCACAAGTGGACCAAATTGCGTCAGTATGCTCATTTCCATACATACACCGCCATATTACTGCATCTGATTCAGTTGATGTCAGATAGAACATCAGTATGTAAATTTGGATGCCAGCACTGCTAAAGATATTTCTTTGTTATATATACTCAAGCTCTGTTAAATTATTTAGTATGCTTTAAATTACAAGTATCATGCTTCTTGGCTTATATATAATCAGCAATTGCACAAAAAAATTAGAAAAACTGTTACACTGTAATACTTGCAAAATGATCCACTGGGTAAAGTGTTATATTTTATATTTTCATTTCATTCATAGCCTCAGCAGTGCAGTTTCTAAACCACGAAATAACATGCTAGATTGTCTTCTTTTACAAACAACTAAATCATTTTGGTATCTGTCAAGTGTTTGTGGTCATTGTTTTTCTCTTTCAATAAATTTAAGAAACCATCAAACATTTTTAACAAAAACAGGTTTCTTCTTCTTCCACCACCCGTCTTTATAACAAACAAAAAGCCACAGCAAGCAGGAGAGTAACATCTATATGCGATGCAAGGATCTAAAATACAATTATTAAGCAAAAAATATTGTCAACTTTTCACTGCAACTAATGTGTTTTTAAATCTAAAATACCTCTGTATGAGTAGAGAGAGACCAATAGAGTTTATGTTTGGAAGAAAAGGCCACCTCTCATATTTTAAAGGGGAACACAGCTCCAAAGGACACAAATCTCATATGGGTGAGTATCACATGATGTAATAAGGTAAAATCAAGGGGCCAATATAAAAAAACCCTGCGTTCTTCTTTAAGTACGTTTTAAAACTGAAATATGTTTTATCAAAATTAAACCCCACTCCTGCAGCTCTGAGGAAAGACGGCAGCGAAGTGAACAATGTTGCAGCACATCTTTAGATAATGTTTTCTAATTAAAACCATCAGCCTGAGTGTAAATGCTATTTTTATAAAAGGGAGTTTATTTGTTTTTTTTCCCCCCAAGCCCTAATGTATTGACACAGTATTCGATGGAGCAAGTTTAACACATCCAAGCTAATTTTATGATCAGAAAGAGCAAAACGTGCAAATATATTTTATTTTATATATTAAAATATAACTATTTTTACTACAGCAAAGCCAGCGGCTCAAGGATGGATTTAGTTTTACACTTGCACCTCCAGATCCAAAGACCTGAGAATGACCAAGAAACTTTGATGACCAAAATTTTCTGGTCTTTGACAGAAAGAGGGGTGCAGGAAGCCATGTTTATTAAAACAGAAAAGCCATCACTGAAAAGAGGGGGAGGATTGTGGCTTCAGCCCCCGAGCATCTACAGCTGTGTCCTGAACTCATTCTGAAGAAGTTTTACAAGTAGTGTCATCGTGATTCAAATGGCCAAATACAAATCTCATATAAAACAACAGACCAATGACCCAGAAAAACAACTGGTAGCTTACTTCACATGTTCTTAAGAGGATGGGCCTACAGTTGCTGAAAAAACAATACAACTACAGGTTGCTCTAATGCAAGCTGGCAGAACTGACAAAGAATCCTATAATGGTGTGGAAATGTTTCTAGAAAAATTGAGTCCAGTTAAATAAAACCAACTATATCCTAAATAAATTTCTAACTTTAGCCTGCTCATTATCACAATAAGCTGCAAGAAACGCTTTTTTTTTCTTTTGCCAAGTAAGCTAAAACTGATTGACTGCTGTCAGTGAGAGACTCAGAAAAAAAGAATTACTTCTTTTCCAAATTGAAGGAGGAGCTTCAAGATTTAGGAAGGTTTCTGCTAAACAAAGGCGTTCCAGATTTATAATTAAATGACCAACAATCCAACAGTCAACAATAATAACTGAAAACATTTAACTAGATCACAGCTGCAGGGCGCCGCTTTGTGAGAACAAAAGGAAATGAGATTAAATTAAATCAGAGGACATGAATAATCTTTTATTAGTCTCCCATCCATTATACATCAAGAACTTGTGGTGAGGTTGAGATGACAGGCAAAACCGAAGTAAAACTATAAAAAACAAATACTCTCTTGTGTTTTAAAGACAACAACACCCTGAAAATCTCCCCCCATTGATAATTCTTTTTAATGGAAAAACCTTCACAAATGTAAGAAGTTTAATAAGCTAACTGAATATAAATTATGTGTATGTAGCAAAGAAAATAGAAGGGCAAGCAGGATATGTTCTTTATCTAACTCTATCTCTGACATTTAGTAAGATCCAGTTACCTTCCACATATTCCATAACCATGCAGAGATGGCGGCGAGTTTCAAAGGAACAGAACATGGACACAACGAAAGGGTTCTCTGCAAAAGTCAGGATGTCCCTCTCCACAAACGCCTGCTGGATCTGGTTCCTCAGGATCAGATTCTGCTTGTTGATCTTCTTCATGGCAAACCGCTGACGTGTCTCCCTGTGCCGCACCAGATACACGGCACTGCAGGAGACCAAACAGGGACAGAGGAATAAAAAAAGGGGTTGTGTTGAACATAGAGTTCATTTAAAGCAGATTTATAAAATGTTTTTTTTAGGTTCAAGACATTTAAAGTGTTTTTTTTTTTTTTTCCAATTACTCCAAGCCTTTCTCTGCATCCTAAGCCATCTGAGGCGGCTTTTATCATGCTGCAGCATATGCACGGGTCAGGATAAAAATGACAGTGTGTTATACTTCCCTTTAAATCCCTGGGGGCTGATTATTTCCTGAATCCATTTCAAATTATATAAGATACTTTCAAATCAATGAAAACCTCATTCCCTGACTAAATGTTAGACACGGACCATATAAAATGTCTCCAATCCAAATCCAGTTGGGTTTTTTTTTAACTCCCTGATCCTTTTAATATTTTGAATGCAAAGAAGTAAAAAAAATAGAGCAGTGCTTTCGATTCTGTTTGCTTTGGTTCTTTTGTCATGTCAAAAATTATTTGTCCAGGAACTTGGATGCATCTCAGTTTATAAAAAGCGTTTTTTTTTTACTATAAACCATAAACATAGTTCGGTGGCAAACAAAGGATCAGACTCTGAAAAACCTTTCATCTGTTGGTTTTCTGCTCATAGATTAAAAGTACCCCCTTTATATATTTTTGCTTAAATTGAAAAAAATGCAGAAAGGACCGTGCATTGTTACTTAAGAAGGCAAATTATTTTCAAAACTAAAATAAAACATTCAAATATTGAGCAATCTAAAAGTATTTATCCTAATCTTGTTTGATAGAAATGTAAACTCTAAGAAAGCATTAATTATTTGTTTTCAATGGAATAAATGATCATCAAATAACAAAAATGCTACATCATTTAAATACCAAAACAGATAACCATATATCAAATAACATTTAAAATATATACATGCTTTTTGCATTATTTTGGGCTGCTCAGTGGCGCAGTGCCTTGCCCTACTGCCTTGCAGAAAGAAGATTCTGGGTTCAATTCCCAGCCTGGGGTATTTCTGCATGGAGTTTGCATGTTCTCCCTGAGCATATGTGGGTTCTCTCAGGATACTCCAGCTTCCTCCCACAGTCCAAAAAAAAATGACTGTTAGGTTAATTGGCTTCTCTAAATTCTTAGATGGATGGATATACATTGTTTTCTTTACCCATTTTGTTCCCGATAGTTTTCAAAGGTATTGTTATATAAAGCTGCATTATGCAACGCTTTGGCTGAAAAACCAACAGATCTATTAGAAGCAACAAACACCTGAAGTGAAGTTCAGCAAACACACACGCACAGAAAAAAAGTTACTTCACAATATTTGTCATGAAACAGAAAAGTGAAGAGAAGATGGAAAAAGAGGGAATGAAGGCTGCCAAGGCGCTGAAGGCAACACCAAACAAGCTTCATGAGTTTCCCAACCAGTAGTTATTGTTTTCTCCTAAAATCATCTGAAAGTAATAATAAATTTATATCTTTTCTACAATTTCAACAAGTTTCGTCAAAAGAGACACATTACAAGGGGAAACTATACCCACAAGGAACCTTTTGGTGGCATAATAAGAGTTTTTGCCGTAATTACTTCTAAACTACAAATAGTCCAGACTGAAACATCTACATATCCACGTCACTAAATATTGGACTTCATCAGAAAAATTAATTACATCTTATAGACAATCTATTGGGTCACCTGAAGAGGCCTGAGGATAAAAGATCTCCTCCTAATCTGATGTTCTTATAGGACGAGGAAGAGTGGGCAAATATAAAAATTCATTTAAAATATACCTTTATAGAAATCTTTATCAAAATGCGCTTAAAATGCGATAAATAAGAGTTACAAAATGTGCACACTTTGGGAAGCCAAGTTATTGCAGATGTTTTTCTTTTTTATTTTAACCTCTAACAGTTTAGTGATTTCTCATTTCAGCCATAAATCATATGCCACAATAAAAAATATTAAAATGCTACCAACTGTCAAATTTATGTATATACATCACAAGAATCTGATTTTTTTTTCTTTTCTTTTTGTTAGCTCCTAGGACCCCCCCCTAAAAACACAGATTTTATCGCCTAAATTGAGTTGAAATCCAAGCTTTAAGTGTGACGATCTTGGTTCTGTTGGTTTTCTCTAAGTTTACAGTTTCATGTTTATCCATGTTTTCTTTTCTAGCTTTATTGATGTGTTCTGGATTTATTTTAGTTTCTTAGGTTTTTCTTTGCTTGTCCTCTGTTGCCCCCTTGTGTTTTCTTTTCCCTTGGCAGGTGCAAGCAACTCACACCTGCTCCTTATCAGCTCGTCAGTCCTGCCTTTGTTCAGTCAGCCATAAATACACTCCCTGTTCAGTTCCTCAGTGCTGGTTCCTCTTCTTACTTCGTCCTACCCTGGCTCCTCATGATTGTTTTCCCCTGATGTCTCCATGGTTCTGGTTTGTGTTTAATTCTTATATTGGATTTTTGGATTCCTGCTTTGGTTAACATTTTTAAATTGGATTTTTGGAATACTGTTTGGCTGCCTGTCATCCTTCATTAAACCTTCAAAGATATCACCCCTAACTCTCAGCTTCTGCTTTTGGGTCCTCACAAAAACCTTAAAACCAAACCTTGACATTAAGGTATAGTGGAGGATTTTCTTTTTCGGGGTGGATCATCTAAATAAGTGGTCCTCCTAATTTATTAATCATTCTGGTGATATGTTTACGTAAGGCCGTCCTACGTGCTCGTCCCCCATTTTCACTTTGAGTCTGACATGGTGGAAAAAATTGCAAATCTTTCCTTGGAAATTAAGCCAGTATGAGCGATGCAAACGGCAACTTTTAAACTTTGTCTAAGTCTAAACATCCATTTAGACTTAGACAACTTTTGTTGTCATTTTGTATACACTCTGTGTATACAAAACAAAATTTCATTTTGTATAGGTCTTGTGACATTTCCATTTCTTAAAGTGCAGCTGTGATTAAATGTAAACAGTGTGGGAGAAAAAAAACTGCTGTTCCCTCTTGGGAGCGGGTGCAGGGTTGTGCATGTGCATTTTTTTTAAGTGGAGGGGGTGGGTCTTTCAGAAGTTCATGAAAAATCCTCCACTATACCTTTAAGCAGATGTGACACTTTCTGTGCAGGTTGAGTGAGGTACAAATCTTTCTCTTACCCATAAGCTCCGTTGCTGATCAGTTTGATGGTCTGAAAGTCTTCTTCACAGGGTGGCTTGATGGATTTGCCTTTTCCCTGCGGACATCCGACATCTTCAAATCAAAGCTCAAACAGTAACGTAAGCATTTTTTTCTTCCTGACTGTCCATGTTTTTCATGCCGCTCAGTGGGGGAATTCATATGAAAAGTGCATGACTGCTGATTTAAAAGGGTGTAAGTGTCGACCTTTGTTAGCTGGTTCCTCACCTCGGCTGAGTCATCCGTCTCTGGGGTATGTGGACCCTCACTGTCATAGCTGTCAAGGCTCACGATTTCTGTTGAGAGACAAGTTCTTTTAAAGCAAACCTGGTGCTATAATGGTAAAAACACATGCAGCCCTGCTTTGCTTTGCAAACCTCAAAAAAACATCAAGTTTGAAAAAGAGGTCCCTAAGTGTCAAATAAAATGCCCTGTGCTATTTTCTTCCTCTTTCCCTCCTCCTTGTTTTGTTCTCTCTCTTCACCAGCAGCACTGCCAGCTAACGATTAACATTCTTGCATTTTCTATGTGACAGCTGGTTGAATACCCTTGATTGTGCCACAGTTTTGACATGGCAGAGAAATAATTAAGGGAGGATTTAGTTTCCAAGACACTGACAATGCATCGCTGGAGTTAATTCATTTCAGATAAAAGTCACAGTGGAGAGAATCCCATATTTAGCCACTTTTCTGTTTAGACTCAAAGTCTTGTTGTTTGTCGCTAAGAAACCGAGAAAAGAAACAATAGTGTGAAAGTAGGAACGTGCGAGCAGCTACGTGGGTGTCCGTGCGTGCGTGCCTGTGCTTGACAATGTGGGTGCTAAAGGCTGTGCAAGATCAAGATATCAAGTGGCACATTGTTAGCAGGGATTAGCTAAAATAAAATTTCTCACAGAGTCAGAAATAAAACCATGCAGTTCTCATTTAGGAATTATTCTGCACCAACCGGCTGATTAGGAGCGCCTTAAGTATTGGAACAGGAGCTGTTCAGCAGAGATGGACAAAACTTTTGAGTCTGGGAGCTAAAATGTACTTAGAATAAAATAAAGATGCGCAGCAGATGATACTCTTAGAACAGACAACTGTAATGTTGGATCAGGCTAAGGCAAGTCTTTGTTAAAAATATTAATAATGAGGATTTAAAGGGGATCTGTAGGGAAGAGAAATTAAGCATTATGTGGAGTTTAAGCCACATTTGTGAGTATTCTTTTAAAAGATGCATAAATAGCCTAAGATAATCTGATTAGAAATGCAGCTGCATCTAAATCTAATATTTTTATTAAAATTTTTCAGTTCAATATTATCTAATTATAGGAAGTCCTCGTCAAAGACAAAGAAAGCTCTTAAGTAATTTCTTGAACTGTTTGTTAATGGTTGTAATGAATATATTACAGAACATCCAGACCTTTGAGGACATTCAAGATCTTGTCCAAAAATGAAAACGAGTATGACATCCTTAATTAACCAATGAAGATTGTCTGTGAATAGGATCATAAGGGAGGTAAAACTTCAGAAAAGGATGGCATCTCCTCACTAATGTTTTCTAGTGTCTTACAACCATTAGATGAAAGGCTACAACTAACGATTTTTAAAAAATCAATTCATCTGTCGATTAATTTTTTTTCTATTAATCAAATAATAAATATATAGCAAAAGGTTCCTAGAAGATTTTTTTTACAGAATGGAACCAGGTCAAACTGAAAATGTTCACTTATTGAACATATTGACGGAGAAAAAATTGTTTTTCTAATCTAAAATACAAAATATTTATATCCTTTTTAACAATTTTAGTATAATTGTTAGGAATCCAGTCTGTGTGAGTTGTGTTTTTGTGTTTTCCCCCTCCACCACCAGGTGGCACCCTGTTCTCGTTGGTCCTCCCACACACCTGCGGCCTGTTGGCTCCTTACTGAGGACTTAAGCGGTGGACTGTCACTACTTCGACGCCAGAGTGTTTGCCAGTTTTGGGTACAATAGCCAAGCTGAGTTTAGCCGAGTCTGAGTCTTTGTTTCTCTGAGTCTAACGTGATTTTTGTCTTTTGCCTTTCGGCAGGAAGTCATCCGGCATACTGGATGTTTGGCCTTCTCCCCCTGGAAGGATTGTTTGAGCTTCACACTGAGCAGGGGATTAATCTCCACATGTCCTGTTCAAGTTCTCCTGGAAATCTAAGTGGCAGTCCGCTCCATTGCTCCTTGGGACCCAAACCAAACCAAAACCTGTCCGCCTTCCAACGAGCCTCTCTATCTCTGGAAAAACCCACACCAACTAGATTCTGGGAAGAAACCTTTCCCCGCAAACGTAAGTCCCATTTATCTCTGTTTTTGCCAGACGTCGCTCAGAGTTCCCACGGACCCTGTATTTCACACCCTGAATGTGTAAAATACATGATGAGGACTCTATGTTGAAACCTTTTGATAAAATGAATGGGATTATGAACTCTTTTTAAATAAGAAATCTTATAGACTTTCCCAGCAAACTGATTTTGGTTTGTCCTTGAGTCCTTCAGTAAAATACTGATAAAAAAAAGATACAAACCATCTCAAGACAGAAATGCCCTACTTAAGGAAATTAAACTTATTAAGAAACCCTATTAGTTGATCTCAGACCTAAATCTTTAGGAGATCCTGTGAGCTGAGCTCAGGAGCAGAGTGAATGGGAGACAACGCCGGGCTCTGAACACCACAGAAACGCGGCAAAAACAGCCGACAAACACCAAAACCAAACCAGGTAACACCTACAAGGTAAACACTTAGACATTGCAGCAGATAGGATTATGCAGATTACCGAGACAGATGGGTATAAGAGATCATCATTTGTGAGACAAAAATGTTTACATGCAAACACTGAAACAAAAAAACGTCTATTTTGGAATTTTTCCATCTAGTGACCTGGTTTAAAAAAACAATCTTTTTTAGTCTCCAAAAATCTTGGATTCCTGTGAATGCAAAGGCTAAATGACTAACAGCATTAGTGGATACAACCCTCACCCTGAAATCAGAATCAAATCTTCTCCTGAACTGGGCCTCAGTATTTAACTATCATTACAGTACGCCAGAAAATGTCTTTTTTTTTGTTTTTTTTACATTTAGTTGCTGCTGCCATAAGAGATAACCTTATAATTCTGCTCTGTGCAAAAATTTACCAGGGGTCCCAATAAATATAGTAGCTTATCATTACCATACAGCACACTGCAGAACAAATCAGGTCCCTAAAACAGATAATCTGCCTCTATCCTACTACAGTAATCTAACAGCTTTTTTTATCTGTATATCATCCAATATGGAGTCAGCCTTTTATCCCCAGTTGCTTTTGTTGGGTGTTGGGCTTCATGGTGCATTTCCTTCATCTTCCCAACTATTTTAAGCGTTTATGATGAATTATTTAATCCAGACTCCAGCTCAGCACCAAACAGACTGGTATTGATCCTTTGATTTCAGTCCAGGAAAGAAAGTGAAACTACTGAAGCCTGTCTGCAGCAACAAAAAAAATCCCTCTCTTAAGTCTGCATTGCTTCCGGCTGAGGTATGTGTAATAAGATCAAAAATATTTCTTATTTCTTTACCTTCTAGCGGATCCCGGGTCAGCCCAAGTTGACTGATGATATATCTGGGGATGTCTGCCTTCATTAGTTGTCCCTCTTTGGCGTGATCCTCTGCAGCCTCCAGTAGATGGTAGAACTCCTCTGGATTGAACTCCTGGTTAAACAAGGACAAACGTTAAAGGAGTACAAAGAAATTTATACATTTAATGGAAGGAAATAACTTAGTTTGGACGCTGCTTTGGGGAACCCTTCACACTTTTTATATTAAACTCAAAGAATCTCTTTTTTTTACTGTCCAAAATCAATGACCGCATTTACATATGTGCTATTAATGGGTTATTATGAACTCCAATAATATTCAGATACATTTTATATGCAAAGAATCTTATATTAGTTTATACATGAGGCTGGTAAGCTGTTTGCGAAGCGCCATGACAATTTGCCATCTAAACATTATGCCGGCGAGGGATAAAATAGTAATATTGCACGGAACAAAACAACGCCTTGCAGCGGCGAAGATCATTTGGAGACACTACCCCAACAGCTGAAAGTCTGCTCTACTGTAGCACAATATAGGACCATGCATAATGCAGCAGCAGCACAAGAAACAGTTTCAACATCCCCCAAAAAGGGAAAAAGAGAACTAAAAGACAACAGAAACAGAGACATAAAAGGATAAACATCGGGTAAGCCTGGAAGGAGCTAATGAAGGAGAACGATTTTAAAAGGGAAGCTGAAGTTACTACGTTTCTCTGAGAGAAGTAAGTGAACTACACTGCATAAATTAGCCTAAACCTAACTTTTAGTGTTGGGTTTATTTAGATATTTATTTAGACAGTCCGACTGACAGCTGGCCTTCATTGTGACAACTGCAATTACTCAAACCATGTAAACAATAATTCTTTTACTGCCGTGTCTGTGTTGTTGCATTTTTTTTTTCTTCAATGTTTTATGTTATTACAATTATTCAGTCGGATGACATGATTACATCTGCGTTGTGGAGACATTTTGACACATGGAGGCTATCACTGCAACAATTTCTGTAGTGGGTTATAAATCCAGGGATTACAGCAAAAAAGTATCCTGAGCCTGAACACACACACACACACACACACACACACATATATATTTATATATATATGTTTGTGTGTATTTTCAAACCATGCCAGGAGGTTGTGGGGGCATGGGGTCAGAGATTGCATGAATGACTGAAAACTAAATTTGACTTTTGAAAATCAAAAAAACAAAAACGGCCAGAAGATGGCAAAAGTGCATCTATATCTAGTGTGAATGAGAAGTCGTGTTCGGTGAGGAAAGCACAAACCCCTATTTTTAACTGGCATACACGGCCATTTATTGACGCTGGTAAGTCAGCTGTTGGCGTATTTTGCAGCAAACGTGTAGTGTGCACGACCGCACCAAAAGCACACGCCCCCTTCTTCTTCTGTTTGGCTAATGCTGTTAGTTTCAGAGTGATCCTTTGCTACCATTGGCTGACAAACGCAAGAGGGATTTCCATTATCTTGTTAAAAATTTTCTGCCGTCCATTTATTTTCGAGCCGGAAATCCGACCTAGGGCCGGAATACTTCAATCCCTGTAAATCCTTCAAAGCAAGAAAGGAAACAAGCAAGCAAGGAAGTAAGGAAGGAAGCAAGGAAGGAAGGAAACGACCATCATAAATGTTATGTTTACAGATCTGTTAAATCAATCATAAATCAATGTCTGAAATTCATAACAGGATAAAAGTTCCAACAAAAATCAGCATTCACACTTTAAATTGCTTTTTCTCCCTCTAAGAGTCTACCACTTTCAAACCACAACACCTGTCTTTAAGATTCAGTTACCTTCCTGTTGCTGGAATAAAATTTTGATTAGAAATCCGAAGGCAGGTTGGATCATTTCCGTCCCTGCTTTCTCATCTCGCCTCCCCTCGACCAGAGTAAAAAGGGAAGAGAAGGAATTAACCTGCCTCTCTGATCGCTTCCTCTGCCGAGGGATAATATTTTGGGGTGACATTTTCAACAAATCAGACTTTGTAACTGACCTGAATACTAAATGAACTCCTCAGCCATGGACAACGTTTTATCTGTGTTACTATTCTCCTTTATAACCTTAGAGCCACAAGGATCTAGGTTCCCCCTCACATCCTGACTGACCCTATCGACCTCTTCTGACGGTTGCCTTGACGACGGAAAGATGAGCCGCAGGGTTCAGAAGGAGGGACGCCTTTGCCTATGAATATTGGAGGCCATCAATCAACAAGCAGATATACAGGTGTGATTAGGTTTTCTATGTGCACAAAAACTACTTTCATTCCTAAACAATTTGGGGGAATATGTACCAGCATTCCAAGGACACGGGTTTTCCTAACAGATTGGATTTGAGGCTGAGAGAACAGGCAGATCCAGGGGGAAGGAATATTCCAATTTCCATATATCTTCACAGTTTGCAGATAAGCGCAAAAAAATATCCTGGAGCATAAAGTATATATGCTGCTGCAGCGAAGCGTATCTGACACACTGAGTGACACAGTTTTAACAAGACCCTGACCTCTACTGCATAATACATTTACATGTTCCCAGCTTATCATACATTAAATGCACAGTTTTATAATGAAACTAGCAAAGTAAATGCTGGAAGCTATTTCTTAACGCAAGGACACAAGCTGAATGCATATCACAACTGAAGAATTATTATTATGGTTAGAATCCAATGATGTTCATTAACCTAATTGGTTGTCTAAAGCCTTTACAATGAAAAACAAAACAAAACTATTATCATTTATTAGATTCCATATAAGGAATCTGTGCGGGGAAGCTTCAAGGTAAGATGGAGTTCTCAGAAATAGGCAGATGAATGGTAAAAGTTTCCATTCTTTTCTTTTACATGTCTTACATGCATAAGTTGTAAAACATTTTATACCAAACTTAACCTCTCAAAATTACGGAAGAGGATTAGGGCCACTGAAAAAAAAAAAAAAAAAAAAGTTAACTGATTTTTTTTAATTTTATTTCAGTATAGTATGGGAATATGTCAAAATATGTAAAATATAATATGTCAAAATTCTGACTTTTTTCTCAGAATTCTGACTTTGATCTCAGAATTCTTTAATCTCAGAATTCTTTAATCTCAGAATTCTGACTTTTTTCTCAGAATTCTGACTTTTTTCTCAGAATTCTGACTTTGATCTCAGAATTCTTTAATCTCAGAATTCTGACTTTTTTCTCAGAATTCTGACTTTAATCTCAGAATTCTGACTGAATTCTGACAATAAAAAAAAGTCAGAATTCTGTGATTAAAGTCAGAATTCTGAGAAAAAAGTCAGAATTCTGACTTTAATCTCAGAATTCTGACTGAATTCTGACAATAAAAAAAAGTCAGAATTCTGACTTTAATCTCAGAATTCTGACTGAATTCTGACAATAAAAAAAAGTCAGAATTCTGTGATTAAAGTCAGAATTCTGAGAAAAAAGTCAGAATTCTGACTTTTTTCCCATGTTAAACTGAAATAAAATAAAAAAATCAGTTTACTTTTTTTTTTTCCGACGTCGAGAATCAAGAATCCACCTTTCGTATTCCATTTTCAGAGTTTTTTAAAGTGTTTAACAGAGACGTTAGCACCTCGACGTCGGAGTACACAGAGTGAAGCGAAAAGACTACAACTGTGTAAACAGGCCCCATTTCCGTTTCCGGTGGCAGGGGAATATTGACTATTCCTACAGAACTCAATGGGATTTACAAAATGCTAAATAAAACACTACAGGAACGTTTTTTCTTTACGAAACTTTTTTTGGAACGTCATTGAACAGCGCTGACGACACGGTGAGTAGCATATTTTAAAAAAAGAACGTTTAAGGTTGTTTTAAGGACATTATCGGACATGCTCTATGCTAGCCATTCTAAAGCAGCCAGGGGGGATTCTAAATGAGCCAAAAAGCAGAGACAGGAGCAATTGTCAAACTTTTGGTGTCGATCATTCGATTTCATCCTGGACACTACAGAAAATGGGCTTAAAGTGTAAAAAACCGAACTTCTCCTTTAAGCAATCCAAAAAAACTGTAAAGCGTTTAAAATAATAACTTAGAATGCTTTAAAATTACACTGGTAAAATGTTTACCAATATAGACATGTTAGACATCGTTGGAAAGCTTAGATTCTCCACAATTCAACCACTAAGTTCATTTTATGGAGATAGTGAGCACCAAAGCACAGTTATAGCAGCATGTGGAAATGTAGCATGACAAAGCAGCCACAATAAGCAAGCATGTCTTTATTACTACTGTTCAAAAAAGACTTATTATTTTCGAGAATAAAAAAAACTACTTTGAGTCATGTTTGAACTGATGCAGCTTGGGTGTTTTGCTCACCCAATTTTCATGTATAAATTCAGAAACTAGAAGGTGTTAGCTTTCAAAAAACCTATCACACGTATAATTTGGGCTTACAGTTCCTCAGTTATTTGCTTTTCTATTTGGGTATGCAGAAATGAGGTGGATATTAAGAGGTTAAACTAAAAGTTTACCTTGGTAAGTTTAAAACAAAGAACCTTGACAGAATTAGTCTATACCCCCAGCTTTGTCTTTTTGACAGAACAATTGAATTGTATTTATAAGCTATTAATTCTAAGCTATACGGATGCTTTCATTTTGGATGTAATGTTTTTAGACTTTCACAGAATATGTATTAAATGAAGCGATGCTTCATTTTTGCTTATAAAAAGTCACATTTGTTTTACACACTGTCCCTTTATAAGTAATAAACTCCTGTAAATCTTTAATAATGGACCATAATACTAGCAAAGCCAGATGAATGAGTTAATATATACTGTTGGGAGGAACCTACCAAACACTCTAGCAGCCTGGCAGGACGAGATATGATGATAAAGAGCTTTTTGACAAGCTCGGTGACGAAGGTAAGCTCCGAACTCTCTGAGCGTTCATATGCCTGCCGAAGAAAGCCAGAAAGTCATTAGGTGAGGTGTAAAGTCAACAAATATCACTTAGCAATTCCTTCCAATCTATATGATTCATGTCTAACTCACATTGTAGAGCAGTTTCTCCAGATTCTCTTGCAGCTCTCGGAAATAAACACTTGTTATCAGCCCCTCGTGCGATTTGGTCAGGCAGTCTCTGGACATCTCAGCAACCTGGTGGTGGATGAAACTGAGGACCCCATCAGCCAGGGGCAGAACGTTCTCTGGAGAGTAATTCTGGATGAACTCTGCCAGCCTCTCCTCCATCTGAGCTGTAGCCTAACGAAGGACACGAACGACATGTTAGACAAAAGCACAATAATGTGCAGAAGTTTTACTTTGGCCCTCAGGAACACCTAGGGGGTTAAGGGTTCTTATAGTAGTTATTGCAGCTGAACGTCTTCATATTTTTAAAACTACAATGTTATTTTTTGTGGATTTCTACAGGCAGTCTGAGAGTGGCCCTAAAAGAAAGACGAGGTTGTAAGCCTTGAGGTATTATATATAGTGCACTTCACTTAGGTAACCTGTGTAAGAGTGCTATAAAAAAAATGTAATGTTAATCTAGTTAAATATAAAAATAAATAAATATGCTACAACATAAGAAAGTTGTCTTTGTCTGCTCATTTACCCCTCTACTCCCCATCCCAGCCCTCCTGGACAAAGAAGGAGCTGCAATCAGATTAATAACAGGTTATGTGCTAAAAACAGCTGGATTTATCTCCATCAAGTCCTTTCTAGCTACCTAAGTTGAAATACTGCAAAACAAGTTAGGCCAATAATTTAATGGCACATAACCACACTTTGTGCACATCTGTTAAAGAACATTAAGGAAAATAAAAGCAAACCTTCCTGCCATGAGTAAAATATGCCCACTGTCACCTCATGTGTCTTTAAAGGCTTTGTGATGCATTTTGATATTCTACTTTTGTTATTAACATGCCAAAATATTTAGGTTCCCTTATATTTTTTATTCAGGTTTAATTGCATACTCTGTCTGCCATCAGACTGCATTATCATATTTTATGGACTATCGGTATTACTTTTTACATCTGTTGGCGCAGATATGGTGTGACCTATACTACAAGGTGGCTTAAAGATGAAAATATACAGGTAGGTCCTCAATGAATTTACCATAAGAAAAATGTAATGCATCATGGGCACTGTAGTATGGGGGGGCACCCTATATTGTAGGTCACGCTGGTCACTATCAGTCAGAGAATGGAATAAAACAAAATAAAGCAATTTAACCTTTCTGATAACTTAACAAGACAACATAGAAGGCCTGAAAAAATGGCAAAAAAAAAATGCAAGTTTTCAAGTTTCACATTTTCAGCACCCTGACTAACATGTTTGTTAGTAATTATATCTGTGGCACAACCACATTCGAATATTCTGTCAAAAAGAAATATTCTCAACTCAAGGTGGCGCCATGTTTTCCATATTACCTTTTGAGTTGTACATGTTAAATTAGCTCACCGGTGTGTCCCTGTGACATATTCCATTACAATTTATATATTGTTTGTTTTGCTTTATAATGGATGTAGTGGCTGCTGCAACCTATACTCTGAGATCTGTACCGCAAAGCAGGATTACCAGGTTAGTGAGAAAACTTTAGGTTTAAACCCGAGTTTCTGGTACCACAAAGCTGGATTCATTCTTAGCGAGGCTAGTCGCTATGGTAACACGGATGGCAGCCTGCTCTGGGGCAGGCTAGCTTTCAGGATTAATTTGAATCCTAGAAAAAGCTCCATCCAAGAGCCAATCAGCTGTTCAGGAAACAATGACATGCCCCTTCACTGAAGACCCGATTTAATCCATCGGGAAAAAACAAGTTAAACAAAACAATATAAAAATGAAAGAACTTGAAAACACAAAAGCAGCTAAAACAAAACACATTCTCGACAAATTTTAACGGTTTTAATCAATTAATGTATTTATTTACTCTGATGTTTTGAAATCTAGTCACTTTACAATCTCCAGGGTGTCCAGTCTTACTAAAGCTGGCACATCGGATCTGAAACAGAACTACAATAAAGCTGAAAATGAAAAAAAAAAAAGAAGCTGCAATGTTCCACAGATTGGTCCTAAACAAGGATAATAAACTTCCGCAAAACTTTAAGACCATCAGGCGTGCATAAATGAAAGAATTACTGCAAAACCTACATGAAATACAGAAATTTGAGCCAATATTCTCAACATTTGCAAGATTTTTTTTTTTTTAAGTTCTTGCTGAAGAAAGGAGGGTAATGTTAAATGACGAGATGTACTTACTTTTTTGCACATAGATTATATTTTGTTTAGATATTTTGGTTCAGTAGGTATAACTAACCTGCTTTTTTTTTTTTTTTTCACCCTTGAGTTCCGACTTATACCGGATCATTTCATGAGGCCTTCAGAATAAAACCCAAGAATTAAAAAAGGATGTACCTGTTACCATACATTAAACTAACTGTTCCTCAGCCAGCTTGGGAACCCCTGCATCAGTAATAGAAACATAAAGTGAATCCAGGTCTCTGATGGAAACATAAAAACCAGGACACCTGTCTAGAGCGTGTCTCCTCCCTGAGCTGAAAGAAGCCTTTGATGTCTAACAAGAAGAGTTTGATCGACTGAGCATCAGGAGAAACCCTTTTGACTAAAGCCTTCAAAAAACATCAATACTATTCTTTGTTGTGTGAGTTTACTCTGCACCTTAGTGTAGGTTAGCTGAATATAAACTGGAGCCGGCGCGCGCAGAGAGCAATTCTCTCCGCTCGATGCAGCAGTTTCTCATGTGTGTGTGATTTTGTTGTGCGGTGCTAGATAAACAATTAGCAGAAGTAGTTTAACATACATGTTTATTAGTACGTTTATTTTGCTCGTTTTTAAATAAATTGGACACCATTGTTTTTTTACATGCAATAAATTTACAGATCACATTCCCCTGGTGAAAGCAGAAAGGTATGTTTTTTCTGTTCAATTTATATCCTAAAGCCCATATTCATTTTATGTGAATATGATTTAGGATGTTTAGTTTTTACTGTGATCTGTTGACGTCATCATTTTGATGTTGTATTCTAGGGATCCACCAAAAGCAAAATGAAACCACCTGTTCACTACGCTAAATTGTGTCTCCAAAGCCGGGATGTTGCCACACACCCTAACATAAAATAGGTCACATATAAGATAAGTAATAACCATATAAAACGATGTACCAAGCACCAGGAATGCTAAACAGTGTTAAAATGTTTTGCATGATTCTATCTCATCCAAATTTAGCTGCATTTACCAATAACCAGAAACATCAGACACATGATTCAGAACTCTGATGAGGTAAACTGCTCCTCAAAGTAAACTTCTTTCCATATTCCCCAGATATGCAGCCTGTTCTGGATACTTCTTATAGTTATGTTGCTATGAATTTAAAACACACTGATATAAATACTGGAACTAATTCAGTACAAAATATAAGATGTTTTTCAGCTTTTCAATTTGGACTCTCAGTGTGGATCTCCGTGATGGGGAAAGATGATCTCATTCTGAAGACCTAAGTTTACAATAAACAAATTATCTGATCATTTAATACCTAAAACTAATTTAAACCGGATGTTCACTTGATCTGCACATCTTTGTGTTGTATTATAAACATCTTTTTACAAGTTTTCGACTTCTAAAAACAAAAACTTTGATTTGCCAATAAACAAATGTGATGTACCACAGATTGAGATAAGAAAGTTACTGAAACTGTTTTCCTGATAAGTTTTTTGTACATGATTTTTCTCGTTTGATTTTTCTTCCTTTGTGGCTATAGATGGGCAACAGTGGCGTTTGATGTAGGAGTTTGCCCTGAAATCGAAGGATTGACGGTTCAAGCCCCTACTCCGACTTTCATTGTCGTTGTGTCCTTGGGCAAGACACTTCACCTGCGTTGTCTGCTGATGGTGGTCAGAGGGCCCGGTGGCGCCAGTGTACGGCAGCCCTGCTTCTGTCAGTGAGCCCCAGGGCAGCTTGAAAGCTATGATTCCTGTACCTAAGACTTGACCAATGTGCAGTGTATTGGATGGATGTGTGTGTTTGTGTATAATTTAGACTGGCGTATTGGTTTGCGTGAGTCTGACCTTGGGGAAGCGTTCCTTGTAGACATGGTTCATCATCATTATTTCATTGTCATAGCAGGATGGGGAGCGCCCCGGACTAAGGAGGAACAAACACAGACAGCAGAGAGAGTAAAATATATAAATATGTGTACTGATGCAGCCCTGAACAGGAGAATAAGCAGTAAAGTAATTGCAGTTAAGAAATACTGTCCTCATAGATAGATTTTCTCTGCCCCCATTTGGAAGCAGATCATTATGTTAATACACTCATAGAAATTCAGCACAGTCTGCTTCTGTAATGTTTTAGGGCAATTCCCATTAACACTAGAATCACTTTTTATGCTAAATTATCACACAGCAGTAAAAAGTTGGAAAAATCTGAAGTTTATAACGGCTAGGTCTCTATTTTAGGGCTGGTACAGTTATTCAGATTAATCATGATCAATCCAGCTGACAGCCATGGCTGGCCTCGGGACAAAATCAAAATATGCGGATATCAAAATATTTGGCAGTTTTGGCTTTCCATACCTGCTCAAGTTGCAATTGATCACAAATACAGACTTCCTCTGGTGTGGCACGTTTAACTTTGAGCACAAGATGTTATGGCAAAAATATTTCTAGGCAGTTAAACCTGTACAGCAGCAACCTTTTAACAGTACCCGCGACTCAAAGTAAAGTTAAGCTGTTCCTGCGGGTTAAGGCTATGTTCTGTATTTCACTGTTTTTAGCTGTAGCACAGTGAGCATTACGTATAGCAAGTTGATAAACTTTAAAGATGCTGTTTCACGGAATAACCAAGAGGCACCAAGGAATGCCGGGGGAATAACTTCCTCAATACAGCAGTGGACAATCAGAAGAGAGTAATAACAGGAAAACGATTTTATGTAAATGAAATTCACGCAGAATTTCTTTGCAAACACTTCTTTGAAAAAAGAGAAATGAATAAAAAGAAATGCTCTTGGCAATAGATGGAGAGGCCCGGTTCATGGCCCCCCTTTAATCCTAGGGCCATCAGCGGGGGTGATTGTGAATAATCAATTATACAAGTACTATATACATATAAGATACATAAACTTGGTCAAGTAGTATTTCTAGGCATTAAATTTAGTTTTTTGAGGGGGATTTAGTTTTGTTTTTTGTCATTTACACTGCATTAGAAGGTAGAAGTTTGTTTGTTTTTTAGGTATGTTAGTTTACAAAATGTTCTCATTTTAAGAATAATCAATTTAATGAAAAGATAAACAATATATTACTCAATTAGTGAATTAATTAAAAACTGCAGCTCTACTCGATGTACACAATTTGAAAAAACTCTCAGTTAGAAACTCATAAATTCAGTTCCTTCCTGATCACCAACCCGAGCATCAACAGGTCACGCTAACCACATCACCCTGAAGGAGTAAGACTCAAGGATGGCTTTATTTTAGGGATGCACGATTTTGGGATTTTGGCCGATATCCGATATGCCGATATTTTAAAACTCATGTAGCCGATAACCGATATCGATACCGATGTTAAAGCTGGACAAAAATAAGTAGTCATTGAAAATAGCAGTTTTGTTATCCATTTCTGACACTTTGAAAAATAATATACTCAAATATATTTTCATATGCTGATATCAAATTGATATTTTACTTTCAAAATCTCGTGAAATTTCATCGTTCTGTTACAACCTCTCGTGATATTTTGCAAATTCTTGTGAGATTTTGTTAGTAAAATAGATCGATACCGCGTCAATATATCAACATATAAAATGTGGCAAAATTTCATGAATTTTCGGGGGATTTCGTAGCATAACGATGACATATTGCAATATTTCATTAGTAAAAGAGATTGATATGGTGTTTTTAAATGGCAATATATCAGCATATGAAGATATTGTGATATTTTAATGTATCAATATTTTTTCCCTCGTCTTTAGAAGTTTTTAAGTCTGTAAAAAAGAAGTTTTTGAGGAAGAAGAAGAAGTAGCATTTTATTTTTTTTTTAGACTTTAGAAACTCAGAAGCTGAGGAAATATCGGGTTAAATATCGGTGGGGTGGCCGATGTCCGATATTCAGTTTTAAGGCCGATACAGGCCGATACCGATAGGGGGTCGATTATATTGTACATCCCTACTTTATTCCTTAACATGTTTTTTTTTTTGTCCCCACAAATAAAGTCAAGAAATATTAAAAACTTCAGGCTTCATTCTTTAAGGAATCCTTCCTTCCTTCATGTCTGCTGCTCAGTTAAGCAGCTGCAATAAGCATGCATGTATTTAGCTAAGAAAGCAACACAAACTCTAATGTAAAATAGAGAAAAAGTCCCGAAGAGAATGATATGTCACCTTGACCAAAAGCTTCTAATGAAAAATATAACTGAGAAAATATTTACTTTCATCAGGACACCGGTTGGTCATGCATATTAACTGAAAAGTTTTAATCATGTATCTCAAACCAACTTTAAAATGTTTCCTTTGACCTGCAGCCATCTTACCTGAGGCTTCTGGAGCGAGGGCGCACATGTGGCGAACGTCGCCCTCCGTCATCGTCTGTGATGCTCTCTGTGCTGCCAAAGTGCTTAGACAGAAAGTGCAACTCATCCATGGTTGGCTGAAAGGGCAGCTGGTGCAGACGCTCCTGAGAAGAGCTGGATGACTGGAGAGGGATCAGAGAGAGATACAAAAAAAAAGTGTTAAGTGTTTTTTGCGGGGGAAAAATCCAAAATTTAGAAATAAGTACCTAGTGATGACAAAGAGTACATCAGAAATAAGAAACATGAAGAAAGGAGAGGAGAATAGGGCACCGTTTGAAGTGTGTGGGCAGAAAACAGATTAAAAGAAGTGACTAAAAAAAAAGCAAATAAGAGAGGTGTAAAAAATCCAGTACTCAGAAGAGGTTTGTGTAGGAGGACAACCGAATGTGGTTTAGAAACATCAGAAAGTGTTTAGGGCTTTACAATAGTAACTTAAGTGCAAGTTGACTTGCTTGAAATGTTTGATGCCACAGAGGGGCTGAAGGAAATGCTGTTTGGGCTCAAATAAGAGACTTTTCTTCAGCACAGGAGTGGGGAAAAAAGGCCCAGATCAATGTTAGACTTAATGAACACGCTTCCCGTCGGGACTTCAAGGTTGGCTTTGGTCAATCAATCATTTCTGCAGTAAAAATCCAATCAAGGCTTAATTCGGGTCTACATCATGTGCAAGCTAGACGAAAAAAGCTGAAATGAGTCAATGAATAAGGAGGTGCTTGGACACAGATAAATACACTGAAAACTTGTTTAATATAATTATCATTATAAAAGGAAGAGTCTAGTATTGATCACATAGTTCAGAGGGTTTGTGTGAGCATTTCTATTCACTTAGATCTGCAACTGCTTTTGATGAGGGGCACAGTTGGATCACCTAGCAGTCAATTTCAAGACTTTGTTGTCTTTCGATGAGGATTCATTGATTTTAGTTGCAAACAAATTGATACACAACAGTCAAAGCAGACAAAGACAAGAAAAGTACTGATCAGGGTGGTGTGATGAAACTTTCTTTGGTCTAAGCATCAATACAGATGCTGCTTTGCCACCACAGCCACCTGAGCACTTGTTCACCGCAAAGCGTTTTCTATTATTTCACCAGCAAGAAGGCCTCTGTTGCACACTTACAGGGTAAAATGCACTCTGGTTTCTAGGGTAATGCGAGAGTATTCAGCACTCTATTTTACAAAAAAGAAAAAAAACAAAAACAAGCATGTGTATCTTGTGAGGAAACAACATTGTTAAGAACAGGGATTGCATCGAGTCAATGAGTCGATGGTTTTCGACTGGTTTTCCTTAGATAGAAAACTTTGAATCAATTTAACTGTATGATCCTGTTGAATTGTAAAGTGCCTTGAGATGACATGTATTGTGAATTGGTGCTATATAAATAAACTAAATTGAATTGAACAAGACACACAGCAGTTTGAGGGAAAGACGTAGCAAAGCTTAAAGCACAGCTGGAACCACTCTAGAAAGAGCTTACAAGACATGGTCAGCCTTCTAGACTGACAGGGTAAAGAACAGGTCCATCACCCAGAGAAGCAACCAAGAGGCTAATGGAACTATGCAAAAACTACAGAGATCAACCCGGTAAGGAGGAGGAATCTATTGACAGGAGAGCCATTAATGATGCATTCCATTTGATGATTTTTATGGAAGAGTTGCAAAGAGAGGAAAGCCTTTCTTGAATGAAAAAGCAAGAGGAATTTCTGTTTGCAGATGAAAGGAAGAAGGGGCTTTTGTCAGATACATAGGACCAAAATGTTGTCAATGCTCAGCTTCAAAAACCTAAAGAAACAACTTACACTGCATCCTAAACACACCTTTGAAACACAGTGGTGGCAGTATGGTGCTGTTTAAATGCATTTCATCTAAATTAAGCTAAACACTGAGAATACCTTAAAGCAAACAAATTAGAAACTCGCAACTGAAGTGGGGCTTCATCTTCTATCAAGAAAACAAAACTAATCGCATTGTTCTCCAATCAAGCAAAGATTTAAATAATGAGGTGCAAAAATCTCCAAAGATTAAAATGGTCATAGAATGCAAAACCGACTTTGCAATGTCATAGATACAGAGCAGTTCAAACCCCGTCGACACCTCTTTTCTATGCAAATCTCACAATTCCAAACTTCCACCGTAAAACAGGCGAATCCAAATGAAGCCCCGAGTTGACATAAAGTCAGGAGTGCTGCCTTATTTGGCTCTGGCCTGTACTTTTGTCACGCCCCGAAATTTACATACAGATGATTTTATGAGGTGTCGATTGCTGGGCTCCCAACTGGACCAGACGTCAGCAGAGAGAGGGAAGCACGGGGTCGTTGGTGTCCAATCTACCATCACCGGGTCCCTGCTGGCTCCCTGCCCCTGTCTGCCGGGGTTCCTGGACCAGCCCCGGAGCTGGCGGCTCGGTTCTGCTGCACTGTAGTCGACCAAAATCCCGGACGATTTTGAAATTTCCCCCGGACTTTTTTTAGGTATGAAAAGAAGGACATCTCCGGGAAAAGAAGGACGTCTGGTCACCCTACCATATAAACAATTTCGATGTTTAAGTGAGTAAGTGCTTGTTGCTATGATGCGTCTTTGCTCAGCTGCTCTGCGCATTGTAAACTAACCAATCAGCGAACAGCTCATGTAAATATTCATGATCATACCATAAAAGGAAGAAAACCTGTCGTTTCATTCTGGGACTCTTAACCAGGCTTTCATTAGGGCTCATAGAACAGCAAATATGCCATTTTCAGCCCAATCAATGTTACACACCCTATTCAGAGACCTTAAAAGAATAGTACACCCAAAACATGATTAGCCTTCATTTTCTACTCACCCCCATGCTGAACAACACTCTGGAGTACTTTTTTGATATCTCAAATGCATCTGGAGATCTGGGAGGCTTCTTGCTGTCTGCTGACATTCAAATAATGGAGGTCTATGGTGCCCGAGGCAGAAAGGTCCATAAAAGTCCAAAAAAAACGTGTCAATATTCCTCCATACTGCTCGTCCAATGTATTCCAAGTGTCCTGAGTGGGTAGCGTCCATAATTTACTCGAAACGAAGTCATTTAGAATGTTTTTAGAGCATAAACAGTAGTGTATAGGATTTCCTAAAAGCGCGTTCACGAGTCTACGGAAACCGCGGCAGACCAAACCAGATGAAAGTGCGCGTTCAGCTCGGCAAAGAACTCATGCTCTTCCTCAACACTGAAGTCCTCAGACATTTTTCTTTCGTTGTTTCTTTCTTTGCACAGGTAAACAGCACATTTCTTCTTCTACGCTTGCATTATCGGCAGAGCAGACGCTGAATGCGCACTTTCGTCTGGTTTGGTCTGCCGCGGTTCGTAGCGTCGTGAACGCGCTTTTAGGAAATCCTATACACTACTGTTTATGCTCTAAAAACATTCTAAATGACTTCGTTTCGAGTAAATTCTGGATGCTACCCACTCAGGACACTTGGAATACATTGGACGAGCAGTATGGAGGAATATTGACACGTTTTTTGTGGACTTTTATGGACCTTTCTGCCTCGGGCGCCATAGACCTCCATTATTTGAATGTCAGCAGACAGCAAGAAGCCTCCCAGATCTCCAGATGCATTTGAGATATCAAAAAAGTACTCCAGAGTGTTGTTCAGCATGGGGGTGAGTAGAAAATGAAGGCTAATCATGTTTTGGGTGTACTATTCCTTTAAGCACCAGCACCAAATACCCTATATAATAATTCTATGACCCCTTTAAAACTAACAGCCCTATTAGTTTATGTAGAGGTATCTGTGGCTAAGTTCACACTGCAGGCTTTGATGCTCAATTCCGCATTTTTGGGTAATTTGATTCTTTTGCATGGCTTTTCACATGTGATCTCTAGTGTGAACTGCATTTGTACATCTCAATGACGTCACAAGTGAGTGTGCTTTGTGTTTACATAAGTAAACATGGCTGGTAGTGTTGGAGCTGGAGCATCTTGCCATCTTTCATTTCTTTAACAACCTCAGCCTGCATTAACAACAGGATGTTTTCAAGAGGGTTGAAAATAAAGACTGCTCTCCGCATTATCATCCTCCATGGTTTTTGTTTATCTTACTGCTTCTGCTTCTTGCTACCATTGCAAGATGCAGAATAGTGACCTCTGCTGAGAATTAATGGGTTTAGGTTGGATGGATGCAACTGGCCGTTTAGACACTGGTTGCATTTCATAAGTTCAAATTCGCATCGGATTCAGGACCACCTAGCCAAGTGGCCTGGGTGGCATTGGAAAAAATCGGATCTGTGTTGTTCAGATTGCCATGAAAAGATCAGATACAGGTTGCATATGGGCAAATAAATCAGATTTGAGTCACTTCAGTGTGCAGTGTAAAAGTAGCCTATGAGGTCAATAGGAATGAGAAGATATGTCGCAGATATCTTCAGCTTTTTTTCTTTTTTTAACAAAAAAACGAATCAGTGAAGTGATTTACTTTGCTTCTAATGTATGGAAATTAGGAGGTAAAAGTAGAAGGGATGCATAAGAAGAAGGGACATTTTTCAGGATATAAATAAATGCACTGCAGAAAGATTTTGTTAGACATCCACCTCAGCATCACATGCATCACGGTCCATTTTCAAAGTGGACAATTTTCATAATGGTAGTGTTCATCTCCCACAGAAAGCTCTTATGTTTCCAACATCTTGCTTTCAGGGTAAAGTGAACAATGTTTTATTCTCTCTATTTGCATCAAATCAGATTTCATCTCTACCTCACTCTCTCTCATTCGTCTCAGTAGGCCATTTCTAACATCTTTCTCTGCCTCTGAAGAAAACAGAAAATGTTTGCAAATACAAGCAATAAAGATTGGTTACATTTCCTTTCAACTATGTCGATTGCACTTTTTTCCCCGAAATGCTAAGTTATGAGTGGCAGCAAAGCAAGGTTGCTTATATCTTAGCAACTGATTAGATATTTTTAGATCTGCTTTACATGAGCTGCATGTTCTTGCAAGTAAAAACCTTGGAGGAAAAAAAAAAAGCACCAGAAACTCACTGGAGAGAATAAAAACTCAAAGAACGCATGGGTGGGCATGTTTGTGTTGCCGTGACATTCGGCTGCAACAGCAGCATTAAATCATTTCAAAAGAAAGCACAACAAAACTAGCACACGTATCTTCAGGATATGGATTCTCCCATAATGATGCTGGCTTTATGCATTAAATGTATGCAAATGAAGTCTTTGAAGGGAACACATGTGAAGGGAACACATGTGCAGGATAATGATGCAAAACTTTTCTCTATGAAGTAAGAAAACTTCTAAGATCAGATCTTTTAGAGTTAGACAGAAAGATTAGTGCGGAGGAAGCCTGGATTTCTCTCACTTTCATGTTAGTTTTCTTCCAGAGCTGTTCTGGTACAAATAGAGATGAAAGCATATGATCCCAGAGAGTTTTCATTTTCACACTGTGCTGAGGGAGGAGAAACCGTCTGTTCCTTTTTGAAAGGCAAGTTTTCTATTACAAGGACACAGTCACTAGGATCCTACATTTGAGATAGGATAAAGGAGCATTGCTGCTGCAATAATAAGACAGCAGATGAAGGGAAATTAAGAGTACTTCCTGTTTCCACTGCATGTTGTTGGTCAGTTATCTGGGCTAAATGTTCTATATACACTAGTGGAGAAACAGGAGAGCCTACGCCTCAGGTCAGAAAACCAAACTAGACTCAAATACAACGTTGATTCCTACTCTTCTTGAGCCTGCAAGTCCGTTAGAAATTATAGCAGTTGTACCAAAGGATGCTGTCACATGAGGATAGCTCAGGAGACTCAATTTCACTTTATGGGGAATGAGGAAAAAATTAACACATTCCTTTGGTTTGATTCCCTTTTAAGCCACCAGTGCAACATTATGCACTTACCACAGCTAGCTTGTTTGTTCCTAGTATGAGCAGGATTAAGTATGGCAACCCACGTTAGTGTTTAACCAAAAATATACTCATATCCCACGCATTAACAACTAAGACATACTTCTAACACAGGTTACTATATCAATGTGGTCTACCTACTTTGAAGCTGGATTCTGGATTTAGAATGAAAAAGTTATTCCCACAAATTGGATACTGTTTTCAGATATCCTTTTTAATAGAGGTAAATTACCGTGGCACACATAAGAAACCATCTGCTGTATATACACTGTTTAAAAATAAATCGAACACTCAGACAACACATCCTACATCTACATGAATGGACTATTCTCATTAAAAACTTTCTTCTGTTCAAAATAAATATGCATCAAAGGAAATCATATGTATTAACCAATGGAGGCCTGGATTTGAAGTCACACATTTATTAAAGTGGAAAAGCACACTACAGGCTGATCCAACTTTGATGTGATTTCCTCAAAACAGGTCAGAATGAAGCTCAGTATTGTGTGTGGCCTTCACATGCCTGTATTACCTCCCTAAAACACCTGGGCATGCACCTGATGGTCTCCTGAGGGATCTCCTCCTAGACTAAAGCATCCACCAACTCCTGGACAGTCTGTGGCGCAATGTGACATTGGTGGACGGATTGAGACATAATGTCCCAGATGTGCTGGGACATCATGTCAGGTCTTTGGAATGGGTGGGCAATCCACAGCTTCAATGCCTTCATCTTGCAGGAACTGCTGATACACTCCAGCCATATGAGGTCTAGCAATGAACTGCATTAGTAGGAACCCAGGACCAACCACACCAGCATAGGGTCTGACCAGAGATCTGCAGTTCTCATCTAATGGCAGTCATGCTACCTCACCACATGGAGGGCTGTGGGGCCCTCCAAAGAAAAGCCACCCCGCACCATTACTGACCCACTGCCAAACCGGTCATGCTGAAGGATGTTGCAGGCAGCAGATTGCTCTCCATCGCGTCTCCAGACTCTGTCACATTTGTCACATGTGCTCAGTGTAAATCTGTTTCATCTGTGAAGAGAACAAGGCGCCAGTGGCGAATTTTCCAATCCTGGTTTTCCATGGCAAGTGCCAAGTGTCCTGCCCTGTGAGCACAACCCCCATTGGTGAACATCTGGCCCTCCTATGGAGTCCTTTTCTAACCGTTTATGCTCACACATGCACCTTTGTGGCCTGCTGGAGGTCATTTTCCAGGGTCTGACAGTGCTCCTCCTGTTCCTCCTTGAATAAAAGTGGAGGTAGCGGTCCTACTGCTGTTTTGTTGCCCTCATACGGCCTCCTCTACGTCTCCTGGAAGCATGTTCAGCCTCTGGACACTATGCTGACAGACATAGCAAATCTTCCTGCCATTGATGTGTCATCCTGGATGAGCTGCTCTTTTTGAGCTCCTTATTTGTGTGGCACTGGCAAGAAAGCACTATCGAAAAAGCACCATCAACATTCAAAAGCGACCAAAACTTCAACCAGCAAGCACAGGTACTGAGAACTGGTCTGTGGTCCCCACCTGCAGAACCACAGACTGCTGCTAAATTGTTCTCTATGAACAACCTTTGAATCGCTTTGGGGAGACAACAATTTTTGGAAAAGCTGCAAAAGCACAAAAAAAATAAAATAAAATCCACTTTGGTTCATCCAGAGTTGCATCTGGATGTCGGTTGGATTTGGCGGTGACAGGATGGAGTTAAGGGATGATGATTAATAGTCCTGTTAGGACTAAATTAAGTCCTCTTGAGAGCATTTAGTAATTCTACTTGTGTTAACATTATTTTGCCTACAACCAGTCCCTGATTGGCTGCTGAGTCGCCATTTCACTGAAAAGTTCAGCTTATTTCAACTTCAGCGATCTCTGCTCTGCTCTCTCCATGCAGTGCTGCTGTTTGGCAACACCTCAGTAGCACGAGGTGAGGGAGCAGCAGGAAACGACCCCTAACCTCGTGATGTTCACCACTGGCTGCTTCACCACCCTTCACCACGGGGTTTGTATAGGATTTCTATGTAAATCCACCGTAATCGCAACGAACACCGGATCTAGTCTGAACGCAACATTCTTTAAAAGAAATTTTGTCATTTTTTATGCCTTATTTGTAAAAACAAAACATGGGATTATTCTTTTTTCAAGCAAAAATTCAGGGTTAGGGCAGGAGATTGAACTCATTCTCTTGAATTCAACAGCCTACATCACCTCTTTTCATACATACATGCATTGTTTTCATATAACTGGAATATATACTGGGTGTTATAGAGTATATCAGGAGGGGATAAATGAGCATAAAATCCACTGCATGAAGTAAGATAAGGCTGCAGCAAGCCATTCCTTTATTAAAATATTTTTTCTGACAACAAAAGTATATTTTTTGCTGAATATTGTATGTTAATGTTAAGGTTGAAACAATCAGATTTAACGTGATTAATGGATTATTGAAATAACTCTCAACTCATTTAGGAATTAGCTGACAGAGCAACCCACTTAGAGCAGCAATTATGCCAAAATTGTAAAAAAAAAAAAATATATATATATATATATATATATATATATATATTAGGGGTGGAACGGTTCACAAAATCCACGGTTCGGTTCGATTCACGGTTTCTGGTCACGGTTTTCGGTTCGATTCGATACATGTTGATTGTTACACCGAAATCCCATAAAAAATTATGAAATTAATGAAAAAATCCCCCAAAAAATAATGGATTGTGATTATTTTAAATGACCCGCGGAAACCCTGGATCATTTCCGTATGTTTTGCTGCTTTGAATTTAATCATCTGGCGCATGCTCTCTAACCTGACAACAGCCAGATGCATGTCTCGCTCCGGCATCTGGCTGTTGTCAGGTTACATGCTCTCTACCATCTCCAAGGAACTCAGAGGGGAGCGGACGAAGCCACAGTGGGGGCTGTAGGCTTTGCTTTGAGCAGCCGGTCTGGAGCGCAGCGGGGCGGAGCGGGGGTTGCTGACGGAGTATGAGGGATTTCGGGGTTAGCTTGACATGTTGCTGTTAGCATAAACAAAACGTGTTGCACAATGCTTGCACACTGTTGCACTTTTATCCACAACTTTCTTTCCGCCGTCATCGTAGGTCACTCTAAATGCAAAGTGGTCCCATACAGCAGACCTATAAAGTGCTGCTGGCGCGTCTTCCAACTCCTGTTCTTTCCCACTCGCCATACCCACACAATTCTCCACAACAACTGATTTTTTTCTGCTACACCCGGCTAAGCTGCTTCGCTTCTTCTTCTTCTTGTTTACTACTGGCGGTTGGCTTTGGTCGCAGTACCGCCACCTTCTGCTCTGGAGTGTAATCGCCAGAAAAAGGAGCAGCGCATGAACCGAACGAAACACACGCGAACCGAACCAAGACAGTCGAACCGAACGATTCTGACGGTTTTCATAAATCGTCCCATCCCTAATATATATATATATATATATATATATATATATATATATATATATATATATATATATATATGTGTTAACATTTTGTATTTAAGATAAAACATTTTTTCGCCTGTCAATATGCTCTTTCCAGAACTCCTCAAGTGGAAAAGTTTTAGTTTCACCTGTTTTAATTTCGCAAAAAATCTTTTTTAAAGAACGTTTTGCTATCCGATAATAAATCAATGAATCGAAAAAGTAATTGATAGATTAATTGATATGAAAAATTTGTTAGTTGTAGCCCTAGTTAAGATATACAAAAATTCTCTTTCATACACCTTAAAGTAACATTAATTTATAGTTGAACCTACCGTTGAACTGGGTGTATTAGTGCCATAACCTGAGGAAGGTAGAGAGGCCAAAGACCATCTACGACCATCAGCCCTGCAAGAAGAAAAAAGGAAAATCAAAATCAGAAAACAGGTTGACTGTTACTGAGACGGGGATAACACCAACTCCTTGTCGCCTTTTGTTTCTATTTTATTTTCATGGCAAATGCAGTTGGCAGTGAAGTCGGCCACCTTCACTTCCTTTCAATCCAATTACACGTTGGATTCTTCAGTTCGTCTCCTCCGAGGCTTTCTTCAATCATCACAGAGTCTGACGCCTCCTCTGAGTGAGTAATGAGGGGCACAGTCCTGGCATTTCGCCTGATTCCAACTGTGTCAGCCTGCTGTCAAGGCTTTATCGCACAGGCGTAGTGGGAGAAGGCCAAGACAAAGACAGGTTTCTTCTCATGACGTATATCTGTGATAGATGATGTGTATGTAGAAGTATTTCAAGGAACAATTTAACTGAGCTGCCTTGAGCTTTTATAAAGTGGATGAGTTACTAGAAATGGTGTGTGAAAAGGAAAAGCCAACCTTCGGGATGAGGCGAAGGAAAAGTGGGCAGGTCCGCTTGGTGAAAAGTTGCGCGGGCTGTCCAATGGACTGCTTCCTGATAAAACAAATATAGAGAGAACAGTGATACAAAGATGAACAGTCAGTACTAATGACAATGTCTCTGATTGGTTTCTTCTGTTTTTAGCACAAAAGGTAAAATATATTTTGATTTAAAAGCAAATTTAAAATTACAGAGAAAAATAACATGGAGGTTTTATAACTGTATAATGTTTACAAAAAGGTAACACCTCTTCAAACTGTGGAGTACACAAACTGTGCACAAATCAGAAACCTCTATCATTCTCAGTTTTGCTCCAGTTCGTGCACTGTAACTTTGGAATTCTTTATTTTATTTCTCTCTACAACTTCAAATTCAGTTACAATGCACAATGCACGTAGTTCAAAATTACCTCCATAAGTATAGGGAATCTTAATTCTAACTATAAACAGGTTTATCAAATATATCACAAAAAAGAATACAGGAACTCCATGTTTACTGTTTTTGCTTGTAACTTGTGAGGTTTAGAAATGTTTACAAGCCCCTTTTTTTAAGTTCCCTGTCCCCAATGAGTACTGGAGTATTAAATGACTGAAATAAACATTTTCATTTTTCATTTACTCCCCTACACCTATTGTAATTGTGCACTTTCACAAGGACATTTAAAAATCAACTTTCAATCTTTTAGCATTTAATTACAATTATCTCTTTTAGAACTAATTTCTCGTACAAACATCAGCTAAAGGCTGCTTTAAGTTATTTTGAAAGCAGATCAAATTTAATAGAGTTAGAATATGTACCTGTAAATGTTGTATTTTCAAATGATTTAGAAAACTGTTTTGTTATGATAAAGTTAACACCAATGGATAACCAATGTTTCACATAGAGCTGGAAAACTACTTTCTAAACCTACTTACTTATAACTTTTATCTTTTATTCTAGAAAGCAACATGAATACAAACTAACAAATTATGAATGAGTAATTAATGGGTACTATACTTGAGGAGAAAAAGAAAGGAGAGTACTTTTGACATTTTTAAACAGAAATGTCCTTTTCATATGTCAGGGGTGGTTTAATAGTGAGAGAATAGTAGGTAAGTTATGTTTATTTTGTTCTAAAGTTAGCCCAAGTCATTAATTACAAAGTTAGAATGAAGGAGACCTAATTGCTTTTACCCAAAGCTGCAGCTAATCTGAACAGGTACATATTAACATACCATAATCCTTCAATAGCACTGGCTCATAACCAAGTACATCTCTTTACATAAAAATAAAAACCTCTGCACTAGCTGCAGTCCTTTCACGTCTTTATTACATGAGACAATACTGCTACTTAGACTCAAGTTTCAGTCAATTCTTTAGGACAAAAATTTATTTCAAGTCCTAAGTCTTATTTTTGCAGCGAAATCCACAAACTTAAGTCCACTCTTGTATTCACACCAAGTTACTATTACAGGGGGATTCGATGTCAATATTTTCTCAAGTCAACGATGGACATTGTGGAGCTCATACTTATAGGCACAGTAGCTGCTGAATGTTTACAAATCTAATTCCAAAAAAACTGATGCAGACAGTTAAATAAAGACAGTAAATTAGTTATTTGCTTTTATCAGGGAAGATGAAAACATATGTAGGAGTCAGATGGTGCCAGAGGACATCTGGTCGTTATATCCCCTGCAAACTAGAGGAAACCTTTATTAAGCTTCCCAAAATATGAGTAATGTAATTTAATTCAATCTAAGCTTTATTTGATTCCAGAAAAAAAAATCCATTAAACATATTATTCACTTTTACATGCATATCCTGAAATTTTTGGAACCCTATTTCACGGTGAAAGAAGTCATAATGTGGAAAAGCACTTAGCATTTTTCTCCCCTACGTTCCATGTCCCTGAGCTGCTCTCATGCTGTCCTATCATGCATTATTAACCAGCAGGATGATCTTATTATCCATGTCTGTGATTTAAAAACAACATGGGCCCCAAACTAAAATACCTCCCTCAGAAATGTGGATGCAGGTACAAGCTTGAAGATTAAGTGATGCTCACATGACGCCACTATTACAACTGGAGTGTTTTATAGCTAAGAATCCTCTACATTCTGTCATACCTTATACCACTATAATGTATCAAAACTACCACTGTGTGTCTAATGCTTGACCAAAGCCCCTGCATTGACTTAATTAAAGACCATCATCCGCATTCTGGCTGGTTTTACTGGGACACAGCTGGGTCTCCCTCCAAAGTTAAAGGGTCTTTAGAAAGACAGAACTCTTGCTGGACTCCACCAATCAACAAGAAGCAATTTCAAAGCTACCAGAGAGTACAGCTATCAAAGGCAAACTATCCTTTTCAAATATCACAAGGTGGAAAAACACTTCATACAGCAAAGGCTTCGCTTTGAGCTCATCGCCAAACTTTCATGAGATTTTCTTGACAGTCTTTTGAATTTAGATCAGTCTAAATGCTGTTCACCGTAAATAGAGTGCTTATAACTTTAATTAGTATTCATATAGACTCCACAGAATACAAACTAAAATAGGTAGGAAATTTGTTTTTTCACTGAAAGCGCTTTTATATTCATCCATCTGGTCGAGAAAATGATATTCAAAATGCTCATAAGAAATAAAAAATAGTGTTTTTATGAATTTATTAAGATCCAAGCCGAAAAAAATGTTTTTGTCCTTATCACAAAACCAGCGGTAAAGGGATTATGAGGTCAGACCTCAGATTATATCCAGTAAATCTAGTACCCCAAGGTCCCAACACTGGGACCTATTGTAGCTGTGACCACAGGGTAGGACTATGGCTGCTCAATATTTAAACACTTAATAAAAAGTGACATTGATGTGTGCAGAGGATAAGATCCAAGGCTTGACAAAGAACATTGTCAGCTACATGACAAGTCTTAAAGTCTTAAAAAAATATTTAGCATGGTCCATTTCTGACTTAGCAAAAAGAGCACTTTGCAGGCACTATTCATTGTGGCGCTTGAAATGCTAATATTTTTGATATGTTGACCAAAAACTTCCATAGCAAAACAGGGTTGCTGCTTCTTCATGATCTAAAATGGATCCAACCTGTTTAAAAGCCTAATTTTGTTTCCCTCTCTCATAAATTAAAAATGTTCCTCCCTATATTCTCCTTTTATTTTTCTCTGTCTCTTTTATCTACCACCATTTACAAACTACAATTTAGCTGATTAAAAGAAAGAACCCAACAATCCCTGAAGGCAATGTAGTTGTCATGTTGGTTTGTAGTTTTTATACCAATATGCAGAATCACAAAGAGAACCTGTGTATTTTAATGTTTTATTTACAACAAGAATCTGGACTCAGAAAACTGCAGGAAGTCAGTTGAACTTTCTGGTTGGGCTAAGCGGAGAAAGCAGACTGATCAGGAAGAAGTTGGTTATGACAACAGATGACTGGTTGATTTGCTCACTTAAGATATGAATGGGAGGTAGCATGGATTTGGTTCGGCGCGCTTTGCAGGCTGTACCCCAGAGCTCCAGGAGATTGTGACTAAGATCCAAGAGCGTTGGTACTTGTAAGTAGGGATGCACGATATTGGGATTTTGGCCGATATCCGATATGCCGATATTTTAAAACGTTTAAAAACGTTTAAAAATTTAAAAATATTTTAAAAGCCGATAACCGATATCGATACCGATGTTAAAGCTGGACAAAAATAAGTAGTCGTTGAAAATAGTAGTTCTGTTATCCATTTCTGACACTTTGAAAAATAATATACTCAAATATATTTTCATATGCTGATATCAAATTGATTTTTAAAAACGCGGTATCGATCTATTTTACTTTCAAAATCTTGTGAAATTTCATCGTTCTGTTACAAACTCTCGTGATATTTTGCAAATTCTTTTGAGATTTTGTTAGTAAAATAGATCGATACCGCGTCAATATATAAAAATATTTCGTAGCATAACGATGACATATAGCAATATTTCATTAGTAAAAGAGATTGATATGGTGTTTTTAAATGGCAATATATCAGCATATGAAGATATTGTGATATTTTAATGTATCAAAATTTTTTCCCTCGTCTTTAGAAGTTTTTAAGTCTGTAAAAAACAAGTTTCTGAGGAAGAAGAAGAAGTAGTATTTTTTTTTTTTTTAGACTTTAGAAACTCAGAAGCTGATCAAATATCGGGTTAAATATCGGTGGGGTGGCTGATGTCCGATATTCAGTTTTAAGGCCGATACAGGCCGATACCGATAGGGGGCCGATTATATCGTGCATCCCTACTTGTAAGAGACGTTGGGCTAGAGGTTGGGCATGAAGGTAATGAAAATCCAAGCAGAAGACTAGAAAGGAGAAGCTTGATCAGAGAGAGACGTGAAAAACAGGATATATCTTTAAATGATCCAGCAGCTTAGCTTAGGGTCGAATTATGAAGAAACTGAGCACTGCCTGGATTTCAAAAGACTGGTCTGCAGCTCCAAATTTGGTGCTTGAAAGAAGTACAGGTGCTGGTCATAAAATTAGAATATCATGAAAAAGTAGATTGATTTCAGTAATTCCATTTAAAAAGTGAAACTTGTATATTATATTCATACATTACATACAAACTCATATATTTCAGATGTTTATTTTGTTTAATTTTGATGATTACAAATGACAACAAATGAAAATCTCAAATTCATCATATCAGAAAATTAGAATATTGTGAAAAGGTTCAAAATTGATGGCCCCTGGTGCCACACTCTAATCAGCTAATTAACTCAAACCACCTGCAAAAGCCTTTAAATGGTCTTTCAGTCTAGTTCTATAGGCTACACAATCATGGGGAAGACTGCTGACTTGACAGTTGTCCAAAAGACGACCATCGACACCTTGCACAAGGAGGGCAAGACACAAAAGGTCATCGCTAAAGAGGCTGGCTGTTCACAGAGCTCAGTGTCCAAGCACATTAATAGAGAGGCGAAGGGAAGGAAAAGATGTGGTCGAAAAAAGTGTACAAGCAAGAGAGATAACCGCACCCTGGAGAGGATTGTGAAACAAAACCCATTCAAAAATGTGGGGGAGATTCACAAAGAGTGGACTGCAGCTGGAGTGAGTGCTTCAAGAACCACCACACACAGACGTATGAAAGACATGGGTTTCTGCTGTCGCATTCCTTGTGTCAAGCCACTCTTGAACCACAGACAGCGTCAGAAGCGTCTTGCCTGGGCTAAAGAGAAACAGGACTGGACTGCTGGTGAGTGGTCCAAAGTCATGTTCTCTGATGAAAGTAAATTTTGCATTTCCTTTGGAAATCAAGGTCCCAGAGTCTGGAGGAAAAGAAGAGAGGCACTTCATCCACGTTGCTTGAAGTCCAGTGTAAAGTTTCCACAGTCAGTGATGGTTTGGGGTGCCATGTCATCTGCTGGTGTTGGTCCATTGTGTTTTCTGAGGTCCAGGGTCAACGCAGCCACATACCAGGAAGTTTTAGAGCACTTCATGCTTCCTGCAGCTGACCAACTTTTTGGAGATGCAGATTTCATTTTCCAACAGGACTTGGCACCTGCACACAGTGCCAAAGCTACCAGTACCTGGTTGAAGGACCATGGTATCCCTGTTCTTAATTGGCCAGCAAACTCTCCTGACCTTAACCCCATAGAAAATCTATGGGGTATTGTGAAGAAGAAGATGCAATACACCAGACCCAACAATTCAGAAGAGCTAAAAGCCACTATTAGAGCAACCTGGGCTATCATAACACCTGAGCAGTGCCACAGACTGATCGACTCCATGCCACGCCGCATTGCTGCAGTAATACAGGCCAAAGGAGGCCCAACTAAATACTGAGTGCTGTACATGCTCATACTTTTCATGTTCATACTTTTCAGTTGGCCAACATTTCTATAAATCCTTTGTTTTTATTGGTCTTCAGTAATATTCTAATTTTCTGATATGATGAATTTGAGATTTTCATTTGTTGTCATTTGTAATCATCAAAATTAAACAAAATAAACATCTGAAATATATGAGTTTGTATGTAATGTATGAATATAATATACAAGTTTCACTTTTTAAATGGAATTACTGAAATCAATCTACTTTTTCATGATATTCTAATTTTATGACCAGCACCTGTAACTGCAACATCCTGCTCATCATATGGGTAGGGGAGGTTGGTATCCTAGAGAGGACACAGACCAATAGCAGAGGAAGTGTGATAATTATGTGCATATTCGACCCAAGGCAACTGAGTACTAAATGATGTTGGGTGTGAACTCAGGCAGCAGAGGGATTCCTCAAACTTCTGGTTAAAGTGTTTGGATTGACCATATGTTTGGGAATAAAAACCTGAACTGAGAGCAGTCTTAGCCACCAAAGAGGAACAAAACTCCTACCAGACCTCTGTCCAAAAGGATTTCACATGGGAATCGATTAAGGCAGGAACCATGCTAAGTAAGGAGCTGAGCTGTCTCAAGGAAGGATAGAAGTCAACAAAGAGAGATGAGATGGAAGGCTTTCGAGCAGCGTTCGATTATAGAGAGGATGCTGGTGAAACTCTTAGATGGTGGTAGTCCAGTAATGAAATCCAGGGCAATATGAGATCTCGGACGTTTAAGAAAAGGCAATGGCTAAAGAAGAGCACTAGGTGACTACAATATGTTGAAGACCACCAGAGAGTTGTTTTTAGGGGTGTGACAGTTCAGTTGATTCCAGGGTGGCAAGAGAATTTTGCAGAGTGGGTCAAGTGAATGAGGCAAGGATTACAGGAAATGTTTCTGTTTCATGTTATGTATTCAAGGAATGAAGAAGGCTTTAATCCTGCAAAAAGTAAATTAGTGATTAGTTTGGAACGTGCATGGATGCTCCGTTCTTTAGACCAAAGACAAGAATAACCTGAAAATTCTCATTCATAACCAAACTGGGCTCTGCGATGGTATAGGTTTGTACCAGTCCCCCTGGCAAAGCTCAGCTATGGTGGCATCTAGTGGCATGTTTTTCTGACAGTAAGCTGACAGGAAATAGGGCATGAGAGAGAGGGAGAGACATGCTGCAAAGGACCACAGGTCGTCGAGGACTAAGGCCTTAGTACATGGGTTGTGCGCAATAACCACTGCGCCACCTGCACGCCATGGTGGCAGCCTTAATGCAAAAAGTACAGCAGAGGTTCAAGAGCAACATATGCTGCCTTGGAGACCACTTTTATTTCAAAGAAAATCCATGCATTTTTAAAAAGAATCTGCATAACTATATTCTGCATGCAAATGAAAGACATGGCCGCTGGAGAAATGTGTTCAGGTGCTGGAATGGCTTACCACCCAGCCCCCGGTGGGGAAACTGGAGAATTTTGAAGCAAAACGTATGATGCTGCTTTTTTATGGCTAAACATCTAATAATATAGCTACAGTAAGTTTAAACTACAAATGTCAAATTTTTTGTTACAGGCTTTAGAAGCTTTTTTAATTACATAAATTACTCTAAAATTTATAATGCTTTCAAAGTTTATAATTATAATTTTATTAATATAAAGAAAGAGTAATGCAGTTTTATATATAAGTAAGACAATTTGTCTTTCATTGTTTATACAACAAATTATTTCAGTAAAAAAAAAAAAAAAAAATATGGAAACAATTAACTTATGTAAATTTTCCCTTATCAAATTATACTTAAATGCTTAAATTAATGAATCCATGATTCAGGATATCTCCAATAATATAAAGATACATTTTCTCCTCAGGCTGTAGAGAAATTACATGCTTTGTGCAGCTATACATGTTTGCATATTTGAACATATTTTTTCCCTTAGTTTGTTTAGTAACAAAGCCTCAGATTTTTGTAAATATTCTTTAAGCTATTTTTCATATCACAAAACTGATACAAATACACTGGAATCAATGACATAAATACAGCAGTTTAGAAGCAGATGAAGTGCATTAAGATGACATTTTAAAATACATTTTTAGCTTGATGGAAAAAATGCTTCTTCTCACTATATTTAAATGACCAGCCTTGCTAATACAGAGAAATTATGAAAGAGTTTAAGTTATTTTGAATCCAATTGGCAAAAAAAATGACTTTTGTAGTTGTGTTGCTGCTTGTTTTGTCAGAAAAGTCACTAAATATTGGAAATATCAACAAATACCTTGCTTTTAACAGTAGATAATAGCATGAAAACACAGAAACCAACTAATATCTAATAAATCTGAGCACTTTGATTTTCTGGGGCGAGTTCAGGTTTATCTCAGAGACAAGCAACAAATTTATGTTTGACAGTCAGACTTGCTACTGTACATTTCGCTCAAAAGCTTAAATAATCTTTCCTGTTATCTTTAAATTTGACATAAAAAATGAAGAGATAAATGGGCAAGTTACTCTTAAAGAGATGATCATTGTAATGTATCCCTGAGGTATATGAGGGGCCAAAATGTATCATGAAAGACATATATATGTGAATGACCCCTTAAGTAAATTACATACAATGACTTTTTAGATGGTAAATTTTAAAATTCAAATATTACAGTACATACACTTTGACATTGTAAAAGGTACAATAAAATAATTAAATGTCCCATTAAATGCTTAAAAATACAATTAAAATGATGTATTAAATGTAATTATGAAAAATACATGTACCCTATTTTTGTATAAAATTATGGAGTGAAATGTATCTTTAAACGGTCAATAGTCTGTTAGTTTTGGGTTTACAGGCTAAAAGGTTTGGCTAAGGTTTGGTAAACCGTGAAAAGGTTAAAGTTACAAATTTTTCATTAAAACAAAATGACCATCCACAGAACGTCTTTAGTGGTGAAAAATACATTTTTCAGTTATCCACAGAAAATGGCATAGAATACAAATAATTGTTACAGTCCAAAATATATTAATATATACTTTTAGACATGATGCCGAGTGACAATTTGACATAATAATAAATTTAGTAACAGTGTTACTAAACAGTTTTTCTTTATAAAAGACATTAAGTGCTTTTCTATAAGGCTTTTAATTTGTCCATGTGAGAAGTTGGACATTTTAGTTTTGATTAAAGGCAGAGTTTTGGAGCAGGAACATTCTGCTTGGTGAACACACTCTAGACCTCATAGATGTTATACTATACTTTACTGTACAATGGTGATCCACCAACCTTCACATTATTCTGTGTTTTTTTTTTAGTTGATTCTCAGATGCAGTTTATGTCAGCGCGTTGAAACTTAAAATCCTGTTCCAAACTAAGATGGCTAAAGCAGGGGGACATCATTCCTCTGGACCAACCGATTTATCTGATCTCCTCCTATTGCTTCAAGAAGATTGGTTAGATTTTAGAATTATGTCGGAATATTGTTGATGGGAACAACAGAACAACCATTTTGCTAAGGAATAAGATTTCTCTTGTTCTCTTAAGTTAAGGTAATATCCTTATTTTTTTCACCGAACCCAAACTTAAACACCTAACTGTAGTTTTTACTTTAAAGTTTTACAATCAATGCAGTTACAAAAAAGATAAAAGTAAAATCTGACAGCAGAATAAAGAATCTGTGGATGAGCTGTTTCTCAATCTTGACATCTAGACTTTAATCAACTATAGCAGGTACCTTCCTAATCCCATCCTGGGACCAACTGTGTTTCTTTTACCATCAATATGTACAATGAAGTTAGTTTGAATTATTTTTTTTAACCCTTTATGAAACTTGCATATAGTTTCTTTATTTATTGACTGTATTTTCTTTTTTCCTCTTTTTAATATATTGACATTTTATTGTACAACTTGTGCTTTTTTCAGGGACAACAGATGAAAACCAAATAAATCGATAAAAACAAAGACAGATCCTCTTCATACACTGAGAAGCAGATACACGTCATACTAACCTATGTGTCCAGGTAATGGAGAGTGCGGCCTCGGCAGGGTGGGGGAAGTACTGGTCAGAATGAGGCTCTTCCGGTTACTGGTTCTACAACTGGAACAAGAACAAAGAGCAATAAGTATTTATCGTGAGTACTTCAGTCTAAGGCTGAAACAATCGGATAAATCGTGATTTATTGATTATTAAAATAATCGTCTACTAACATTTTAGTTTCACCTTGTTTAATTTTGTAAAAGGTCTTCTTTTGAGGAACGTTTTGCTATCTGATTATTAATAAATTAATCTAAAAAAAATAATTGACAGATTAGTCCAAACCATCCAAACCATCATGGACACCACCTCTCACCCCCTGAACCAGACTGTAGAGGAGCTGAGCAGCTCCTTTAGTCAAAGACTTAGACACCCTGTCTGTAAGAAAGAGCGCTACGCAGGTCATTCATTCCTGCTGCCACCAGACTCTATAATAATGCACTATAACCACAATGACTCCTGTAAAAACCACTGTGCAGCTATATTATAGTTTTTTTATTTATTGACTGTGCAATATTCTGTGCCATATGCTGACTGTGCAATATATGTGAAAAAAATAGTCATACCACTACCTCACCGTTGTCTAGAGGTGAGTATTGGCATAAGTGTTGCGATTCGATACATGTCGCAATACTTTAGTCACGATACGATATTATCACGATATTGCAGTATCACTATATATTGCCATATTTTCCCCAGCTATTAAAATCAAATGATGAGATAAAACAGCAAGCGCTGTATATTTTCATCAGAAAATATTGATTAGGTATTATTATCCATGTTGTTTGGGGTTTTCTTCCACTGTGACTGCCTCAAATACAGATTTGGTGCTGCACGCACAGTTAAAGGGCTCCACAGCGCTTTCTGCCAGAGTGGTGGTGCAGAGGTAGCCCATTTTCCCATCAATGTTTTATGTAACCATTTTTTTTTTTTTGAAAATCGATACTAAGAAGTGAAAGATCGATATTATATTGGGCAGCCGAATATCACGATATATCGCCAAAACGATTATTTCCCACAACCCTACCGTTGTCCCTTACCTATTACACTTTAACGTAAAAGTAAACCCACCTATATATAAGCCATCCGGATTGTACATATGTCACCTCAAATCTCTACTACTCCCTTGTATTTTATTTTTTTTTTATTTCTTATCATGATTTTGTTTTTCATTAAGTGTGATACATGTACACTTGCACCTTAATCCTTATTTATCTTGATATACTGTATATACCTGGATATACTGTATATATTAGGGGTGTGGGAAATAATCGTTTTGGCGATATATCGTGATATTCGGCTGCCCAATATAATATCGATCTTTCACTTCTTAGTATCGATAAAAAAAAAAAAAATGGTTACATAAAACATTGATGGGAAAATGGGCTACCTCTGCACCAAATCTGTATTTGAGGCAGTCACAGTGGAAGAAAACCCCAAACAACATGGATCATAATACCTAATCAATATTTTCTGATGAAAATATACAGCACTTGCTGTTTTATATCATCATTTGATTTTGATAGCTGGGGAAAATATGGCAATATATATTGATACAATTAAAGTCAGAATTCTCAGAAAAAAGTCAGAATTCTGACTTTTTTCCCATGTTAAACTGAAATAAAATTTAAAAATCAGTTAACTTTTTTTTTTTTTTCAGTGGCCCTAATTCTCTTCCGTACTCATTTAATCTAATCTAATCTAATCTAATAAAACAAAATAATCAGTAGTTGAAGCCCTACGTCAGTCAGCTGCTTAGACACTATGCAGACTTTAAGGATTTGTCCTTTCATGTCGCTCCAATAGTAAATGTAGTAAAATATATGTGTAAGCATATTGCAACCATGAGTAAATTATGTTTTTGTGGATTTTACACTTTCATAACATTTGCTTATTCAGTAAGAAGCAACAAAGCAAGAAGACTATTTAATTGATATTATGTTCCATGACAGCTGCTGTCATGGAACATAATGGAAGGAGTGATGAGGGGAGAGGATCAGGGGAAGAGGGTTGTTCACCGTAATGAAAAACTGAAATTAATGAAGCGTTAAGACTTCATATGTTATTGCAGGAAAACTAGATGTGCCAGTGGAGATTCTTACAGGAAGGCACACACACATACACAGAAGCAGAAGAGTTATTGTCCTTCATAACAGATCATAAAGTGGGAAGTGAATGGTACAGTTGTTATTGTCATGTACCGACTTTGGTTTGCTTACTACACTTTGCAGCTGTTTGTTCTTCTGCAGTTTCTGCAACAATGCAGAACCAGTGAAGAGAAAAAAAACAAGTTTGCTTCTCATTGCATCAGGCATAATGCCTTCTCACATCTGCAAGGACGAATGGTAAATAACAGCACACAACAGAAATACATCCCTGTAACAAAATTCCATTATTTATCAAGTCTCAGACAGTGTGAAGCCTGTATCTATCATCTTGTATCGCTTAGAGCTCTGCCTGCTTTTTCTCTCTCCCTTTTGGTGTCGCTCCTTTTCTCTGGCATCCTGAGACAGCGAACCAGCAGAAGGATTTTCGTAGTGGCAGTCTGCCTGTGTAGGCACCAACTGATGGAGAGCTTGTACTCAGCCTTGCAGAACAGAAGAGGAATATATTGAAATATTTAAGGGAAATGCATTAGGCTGTGTGCAGAGAGAGCTGGAGGAGACTTAACAGCATCCCTCACTCTGGCTCTTTCAACAAGAGCAGACGGGATGGAACAGGGGCGAAAGAGAAAATGCAATGTGAAGAGACATAGAATGCACACAGTTATCTTATTTGACGTTCCGCTCCAACACCTGCCTGAAATCAGCAGTTAATTTCAGTCCTTAACTTCCTGTGTCGAGAATCCACCTGCTCGTCCTATTCATAAGCTGAGTCAGGTAAACAAACACAAAGCAGCCGAATATATTCCCAGGTTGTGATTCATAATTTATCACATGTTACAGCTGAAACAGGCCACTGATATTTACCACCAGTTTGCGATATATTCCAAGGTTAAGCATCTACCTCTTCCAGATGGAGCGTGAGTCTTGTCAGGAAACCTACAGTAAATGAACTTGAATCGCTATAAATAACCTTTAGATTAACGACGGTCGGTCGTTCACTCTGTTCTCAGGCTGTTCTCTGACTGAGCGCCATTTTTTTTTGCTCTCATTCTGTTCAAATGATAAATAATTAAAATGAGTGAAGTCATCATCGCTGCTGTGTACATGTAAGTGCCAGACAAAAAGCTCACAGCTGGCTAGACCTTTTAAAGACAGAAACACAATGAAAGCTCCTGAGGGCAAAACATCTAATCTTCCCATAAACAGAAATCTCTTTTTGCTCTACAACATGGTTATCTTAAATGAGTTCTAGAAAAGGGCATCTTGCTCAAAGCATTTGTACTGTAACAAAGGCTAAATAGGAGTGTTCCTTATTCTTCATGTCAGTCCATCCAGTGAAGGTCAAACTACAACTTAATTTTAAACAATTTAGAAAGATCATGTATGACAGAAATACCATGTTTGGCTGTATAAATCTTCTGTGGACAAGCTTTGAAAATCCGAACCTACATCCCTCCTACATTCTTATCAGAAGGTGTTTCAGTGTTGGCTTTACTGTGAAGAGTGGCTTTATTGGCTGCATAACTGAATATTACCCATAATAGATGTAATTATCTGGACAAATATAGCATCTTCATGTCAAATACATATTTAAGCCAGAGTATTACCAATTTTGAAACATGTTTAAAGAATCTATGTTTTAGCTGGTAAGTACGTTGCATTTAATGAGCGTAAAGCATCAAGTTTCTCGCCGTTCCACCAGTCTAAGGTGAGTGTGATCAGTGGCGGTTCCAGGAAATGTTTTACAGAGAGGTCCAGGCACCAATGTGCACCAAAGTCAGCAAAGGCACCAAAATCAGTTTAGGGTCAACCTACACTGATCACAATAAACCTACATCTATATTATCCGAATAAATCACTAAAGATGGAGCAGATTTTCCTGAGGCTCTTGCTGATAAAGCTACACACATATTTATACATCTGTGTTGCTTATATTCATTTCTGGTTTGATGTTATATACACATTAAATAGTTTGAGCAGGGGACCTTTATCTTTAAAGGACCGCAGAGATAACTCATAAGGCATAAAAACTCATTAAAAAAAACCACGAGTTCTGTATTGGTACACTTCAATTTTAGTATATTGTTTTGAAGAATCAATTCCTGTAGTTTTTGTCCTTTTTAGGGTGACATACTAACTTTCAAAAATGTCTAAGTAGGATAATCTGGAATGGATTGTAGCTCAGATCCATGCATGCGAGTCCCATATCAACAGTCCCATATCTAGACAAGACTTCCTTCACGACCATAAAACAATAAAACTGGGAATAAAAGACTCTTAAATTAATTAGTAATCCTAAAATTGGCACAAAAAAAAAAAATGTTTTGTCAGAGTCACATCGCATAGCCCTAATGTAGATGACTGAGTTAAGGCCTGGTTATACTCCCTCAGCAGTATGTCACAGTGAGCTTGTCGGAGGTATGATGCAGATAGTTTTATTTATGCCCAATTTTGAAGCTTGGTAAGAGGGACAATCACAAACTAGCAGTGGGTCTAGATACGGCCAAGGCGGTGAGGAAGTGGGGGCAAGTTTGTGCAATGTTAAAGATAGGCTCTGTGTATGCACACTGATCCTCTATCTCTCTGGCTCTTTCCCTAAAAAGAGATCACTCGGGACAAACTCTTTAAATAGCATTTCATAACTTATATGTATGAAGTACCCAGGAGACATGACAACAGATTCTGATAGAAATTGTAAATTGCTTAGGGTTACAGAATGGCAGCTGTTCCCCTCTCAGGATGTGGCCCCGATTAACAGTTAAAAAGCCATTTTATACATCTCCAGTCTGCCACATCATCATATTTTACATCATACACATTAGCAGATGATTAGACATCCATTGCTTTAGCCTTATCAAAATAGAACACCGCTCTCATTCCATTTCAAAATCTTTGCCATGTACAAAATAAAGATTATAAAAGTATATCCAGACAGAGGAATTGTCCTAATTAGATTAA